ATATATATATATATATATATATATATATATCTTCATAGCAACACAATTCACAACGGCCAAATATTAGACACAACCCATGTCTTCATCGTCACATGAATGAACAAACTTGATACATACAAAGAGTGGAATATTATTCAGCCATAAAAGGGATATATGATTGTATTTGCCTGTTTGACTGCAAGATAGCAATTCATGGACATTGAAAATAGTGTAGAGGTCAGCAGGGATTGAAGAAGGGAGGTTGGGGTGTTTTGTGTGAAGAGTACAGAGTTTCAGTGTGTGATGATGTAAAAGATATGGAGCTGTGTATTGTTGATGTTGCATGTCAGTAGAAATGCACTTAATATCAGTATGTAAACACCCAAAATATTTGAAATGGCCAGTTTAATAAGATGTACATTAAGCCACTATAAAAACAGCTGTCAAATAAAAAAAAAGAATAAAATGCAATAGCATGGGCTGGGGAGCCTGGCAGGCATGAGTTGGAAGACCCAAAGTTGACCTCTTCTAAGTGAGTGTCTGCAAAGTCTGAGCCCATTTCCTCCAGGGCAGAATCCCCCACCCATGGGTGGTGGTAAAGTTAAAGGGAGAAGGGATTTGGTGCAGCCACATGAGGCAGGCATCTTACACAAAGTGCCCAGGTCAGGGAAATCAGAGAACCTGTCATCAGGAAATGAGTGTGGAGGCCCACAGATGGAGGAGGCCCAGAGGCTGGCGACTGTCATCCTGGAGCAGGGAATATTCCTGGGAGCCTGCAGTATTTCAAAGGAAAGCAAAACATGACAGAAGAACTTCAGGCATGGCTCAGGGACAATGGAGTATATGCATTCTAGATGGGGACATGTGGCAGAAGTACGAAAACCGTGCTCTCTGCGGAGGGGATGGGTTGGCTAAAAGCTGCAGAAGAGACTGTGGAGAGGAGGAGCCTTTCTCCCGTATTGGTAGGACGGTGAAGGGGTGCCACCACTGAGGAATATAGTGCAGGTCAGCCTGCAGTCTGAGAGTCTGAGGGCAGGTGTGTCCCCTGGATTCTTGGGGGTGTGTAGGCACAGAGAAAACAGGTCCCTGCCCAAGGAGGTCAGGAAGACATTGACCTTGACCATCTGGTACATCCTTCCATTCTACAGGCTCTAAGCTCACTTTGAGCTCTGAGCCCCAAACCCAGCATATAAGAGAGCAGACGAAACAACTTCCAGGGTAAAAACCCAGAGCATCCTGTCGTCTCTTGATCCACATTTACTGACGTTAAACTGCCGGAGCCTGATGGGCCCTCCATCCCATGAGGAGATCCAGTGAGTTGCTGGGGTCCCACGAAGTTAGAGAGATGCCCCTGGAAGTTAATGAGCAGTAACATCTGAGGCAAGAGTAGGTCGATCGTGCAGTCTGGGGCTGCCTGGGGCTGCCTGGGGCAGGAACATGGCTCTGTGCCCCAGTGTGGGAAGCTGTGAGTGCAGGAGACCAAAGGGTACCAGGGATCAAAGTAGGAGCCAGGATCCAAAGTAGGAGCCAAGAAATCCAGCCCTGACACTTCTGTATAGGATAGCCATCCTTTCCCCTCCTCACCCAGCAGATGAGCCATGGAAGCTACTTAGAGGGGTGTGTGTGTGTGTGTGTGTGTGTGTGTGTGTGTGTGTGTGTGTCCTATCACTTGATTCATAGCAGGTGCTCAATTAATACTATTTCTCATTCCCCACCTGTACTCAGAGCCCTCTTTGTTCATCTCAGGCCTGGGGGAGACCACCAAAGACTTTGTAAAAGGGTGGCAGCTAGCTAAGAAGACCCTTTAGTGTCAAGGCTACCCTCTGGAAAGACTAGCCCAGGAGGCTGTCAGCTCCCAATGTCTATACCTCCTGTCATCAGTTTTCCTTGAGGAACAACCACCACCCCTTGGATGGGCCAAAGATCAAATGGCCAAGACACGTCCAGGAAATCTTAGAAGTTCCTCAGCTGGACCTGAAGAAATGATTTCTTTTCATTTTAGACGGCTCCCTATGAAGCTGACTTTGCTAAGGAACTAGGGAGCTGGGGCTCATGTTCCCCCAATCCTTCAGTGTCCTGGAGAAGGTGTAAAATGAAAGGAACAAATCCTAGAACGGTGGAAAGGGCATGTTCCAGGAAGCCCAGTTCTTGTCAACTATGGTAGACTTTGACGTCTCAGCCAAAGTAGGATCCCACTCCAGACCAGGATATCAGACAAAAAAACACCTTTGCTTCTCTGCAGCACATGATGTTTGGGGATTGCCCGACATGCAGGCGAAAAAGGGCTTGGAGACCAGCGATTGCCTCCATCACCTCTGAGTGTTGCCCCACTGTTGTGATGAAGTACGCTGCTCATTTCCAGTCTAGCAGGTAGGGCTGAGAATGGAACCCCGGCCACCTCACCAGGACCAAACCCCATTTTCTCTCCCCTTCAGTGACAGCAGCTGGTGCATAAGGCACAGTCCAGCTTCCCCACGGCCACGCTGAGGCAGTCAGCTATTCTTGATCATGCAGGGATTGTGCTTTGGCCGTCCCTGTGGGGAAGAGGGAAGCAAGAGATGAGGGTCAGCAAGCAGAAGGTAATCTGAGCAGTGACACAGGGAGAGTGCCCGAAATGCGCTGGGAAATGTGGTGGGAACATATTTTGGAAACAACTTAATCAACTATATTTGTTTTATATGCAAAAGAGTGAAATGTATTTACAATTATTTCTTTTCTAAATAGATCTTTTAATGTATACAGCATTAAATGATACACAACATTAGATTGGTAGGTTTTTTGTTTCTTTGTTTCTTTCTTTCTTTTGGTGGGATGTTGAAAGAATGGAAACCCTTGAATAAGTGTTGCATTAGAATTGATGACAGCTGCTCTGCCTCCCCCGCTGGACCTTACGGTTCTCTTCCTTCTCAGTTTTCAACAAGGAAACGCAGCAAGATCAAAACTCAGGCACAGTTGCACAGCATGGGGGTAACCCAGTCCAAGTGAGAGTGGGAAAAGGTCCCGATACCTCCAATCCTGATGACCCATATCTCACCCAGCTGTTCAAATCACACCATGAGGCCCCATGCAGGGAGTCCACTCCACATGGCCTACCCTGCTGGTCACATGCATAGAACCTGTGAGCACAAGAAGAAGATTCCTTTTTTAAGTCATCATGTTTGGGTGCTTGTCACTCAGCAGTGGATAATGGGGCTGTCCTCATACAAGGTCTTGGGAAACAGCACACAGTCTTCACATCCTTCTAGATCCTGCCATTCCCTGGCTGTCTTCAGAGTTCACACAAATGGCCCCTGCATTTCCAACCCACCAGCCTCTAGTCCCTGACTCCTCACTCACAGTGGTGTCCTGATCTCAGCCACCTTAGATACTCTCTCTGGTTAATAAAATGCCAAAGTTCTTCAGGTGGCCCCTTAGGGACCCAATGTCAGGGGCTACGATGAGGGACAAGAATGCCTCATCATGTACCTCTCAAAAGATCCCATGACGTGGCACTGTTAACAAGCAAGGGCACTGAGCAGAGCTGAAGGTCACAAAGTCACCACGTCAACCTTCCTGTCATAAGAGCAGGGATTCTCCCCCAGGGTGGGGGAAGGGCAGTTAAGTATCCGGTGGCAGGTCATGCACATTGGTGATAAAACGGGAGGGGCGTGGTTCTTTGGCACAGATAGAGGCAGCAGAGAAGAAGGCCAGAAGTGGACAGTGCTCATCTACCTGGACCCTGGCTCAGGGCCCCTAGTGTGCTCAGTATCACGGGACGACCAAGAAAATGAGGGAAAGCTGTCCCTGGGTGCTGAATTCTTCACTCTTTCTGCTGTTGCTGCTCCTACATCTGCCTCTTTTCAGAGCCCAGGACTCTCCAGATACTGACCCTGAATGGGTAAACCATAATCCCTACTACCCCATTTCAGGAAGAAGCTATGAAGGGAGGATGGGGATCAAAATAACTGAAGATGAAATCCTGCAGTACTGTGATGGCATCTTTGATCTTTACTATGTCTTTGACACGTGAGTTCTCCTTCTTGCCCTGGCTCCACTTGGCCACCAGGAACCTCCATCCCTTGGGTCACATGACTGAGGGGTTGTCAACATCTCCCAGAAGAGAAGCAGGACTAGTGTGTTGACGAGTGGAGCATCAGTATGCTCTAGCCTCCTTGATTCCTAGAGGGGTCAAAAGCCAGGAAGGCTCTTTGGTCATTCACATTTAGCTTCAGCTTATTCTTTAGACTCCTTTTTTCTTTGGAGTGAATTTGAATAAAATGAAGGACCTCCCCCACCCCATGCATAGACCATCATTCTTATCCTGGTGACTTTTGAAGGCCACAAAGAGAGCCACTGTGATAAGACCCTGAGATTCCAAACTTCTAGGGTCCCTGCAGGTCTAAAGTAAGAGGAAGTGGACAAGAGAGAGCACAGGACGGATGGTGGGGGGGGGTCTCTTGTTCTCCTCAAAGGCATCTGCGCATCACTGCGTAAAAGGTTTTATCCGAGGAGGGATGGGTCCAATCTGTTTTCTAAGGAGCCCTTCAGTAGCCTTGGGGAGGATGGAAGAGGAAGAGGAATCCAGGGCTGTAGGGAAAAGAGGAAGGGGTCCTAGGAGACCCAGGATGGGAAAGTTTGAGAAGCTGCTGGAAGCCTGAGGATGGGTGTGCCTAAGGAGGGGAGAAGAGGGAGACAGCATCCAGGGAGCATCCTCAAGTCTAGAGCAGAAAGAGGAAGAAAGGTGGGCAGAGAGAGTGAGATCTTGCTGACAGCCACCCACTCCAGGAAGGTGACTTCAGGCAGTGTCAGCTTGGTGCACTGGGGAGGGAAGAGGGACTCTCTGCCCTATAGCTAGGTCTGCATCTTGTCTTTGTCTACCTCCTCCCTCAAGGAAGATGACTTAGGTAGCTGCTGGAAAAAAGCAAACCAGGGCCACTGAACTCTGAAAATAAAAGGAATCCCTTTCCTTTCTTCTCTCCTGCAGCTGCAGCATCAGAGTCTAAGTGAGCAACAATAGAATCTGCTCCCCATGACTATGTTCTGAAAAGGAAAGAAAACGCACGTTGAAATACCTTACAGTGAAGAGGGGGCACGAGCCTGGGCCTTTCCTGGGCCTTGTCCTCCGCTGTCAGTCAGCACTACGCAGGCACTGTGCAAGAGGCAACTCCCAACCTGATACCTGCAGAGTTGATGATCCTTCCCATGGCCTTCTCTCTAGGACTTCTGCTAGGACTTTGCCTCCATGGCTCTTACCAGTAGCATCATGGAGACAGGATCCTGGCCTGGCTCTGAACAGAACTGGGGCTTCCTTATTCTCAGAACTGAGGTCTGTGAATGGTGCTTCAGAAGGGGTCAGGATTCCCTTTCCCCTTCCTTGCTGCTCAGCAGGGAGCTCCCTGTCATCACCCTTCCTGCTGTCTGTCCTCTCTGGGACTGCAGCCAGTATTGGGGAAGCTTTGGAGGAGATGGGGCCTTAGCAAGTCAGAAGGATTGTTCTTTCTTGAGGTTAGGACGGATGGCTTTTTAATAGCTGTTCTCATGCTGCTGACTTATCTAGAAATTTTGCACGACCTCCTGTGAATGAAGGGATGGCACCCCCTGTCCTTGTCCTCTGTGACACAGCTCCAAGCTTCCTCTTGGCTCCCATGGGCCCAGGAGTCACCCTTGGCCATCTTTTCCTCAGTGGCTCACACAGCTTCTCTAGGGGACTTGCAAACTTGACCTTTCAGGCCACGCAGACCCAGGGGCTACCACTCCGGGAATGGTGGCAGCTCTGAGGACAGGCCCTCAGTCCTCCTTCAACCTTTTAATCCTCATGACCAAGCCTCCCTCAGATCCAGCCTTCAGATTGTCTCTGAGGAGCTGGCCTCTAATGGGTATCCCTGATTTCCTGAGATACTTCTGAAGGATTGAGGGAGTCTGAGAACCTTGATGTCCACTAAGGAGGATCCCTCCCCACCCCTTTAACTCAAAGGAAGGGCAGGTGGTGCACTCATGTAGCAGGTAGACAGGAGGACAGAACCAGGACAGGTGGCCTTCTCAAGGCTGACTGCGGACAATCCAGATGGCTGGGTCCACATTGGAGTAGGCCTCTAGGTCAAACCTGAGCCAAGAATGAGGCGGTTAGGATTCAGTGGGGTTTCCTGGCAGGCCTGACATTTCCAGTTGACCTGTGGATTCCTGAAACTGAAAGGTGCCCTCAGGGTTGTCCCACCTTCGGCCAGTTACTGGGCTGCACTCATCTGTCATTGCAGACACCTGATTTGAAATGGGTATGACCTTGGGCAAGGCAACTCTGCAACTGAGGGGGTCCCCCAAGAGCACACAAGAAGCGGCATCTGGGCTCAGTATGCTTATGAGCTTCACAGCCAGGCTCACAACTCAAATGAAGGAAGAAGAGGATCATGCAGGGCAGGCCGTTGATCTGTGTTTATCTTCCTAAAGGTCGTCTCATTTATCTTGTTTCAAGCAGTTTGCTTGACCTCCCAGGCCTTCCTTTGAAACCTCAGTGGAAGGCTTTGAGACCCCTTAATGTCAGCTTCCTACATTCCTGCAGAACCAGCATCACATGGTTGGCACCAAGGTCTGCCACCATTAGCAGCAAATCTTTCAGCACAGTTAAGACAATTGCTTTGCTTCGATGTCTAATAAGTCTGAACTGCTGACTTCCTTCTGAGTGGTTCTTATCAACTTAGTTTCTTGGATAAGACATGCTTTCTAGTTTCTTTTGTGCCTCTTTGATTGTTGTGATGGATGGTAGTGGTGGTGAACAAATGGGCGCTTGGATCTTATAGTATGATAACTCTGGAGATCAGACCCCACACCATTTCCCATGAGTCACTGGGCTGTTTTTATTTTTGTTTATTTCTATTGCAGAAATCTGTAAATTCATGTGATTTGAGACTGCTTAGGCTCTTACAGGCAATGACTCCACCCACCTCTGTGGTTGATAGGAAATTTGGAAGAATAAGTATAATCTGGTAGTTTCCAGAGGAAGTGATACAGGCCAGGCAGAGGCATGCAAAAGGACCTCCAACCTAAGGGATAGTTCTGATCTCCCAGAAATCCAAAAGTCCAGCTAGGTGTGGTGGCACATCCCTGTAATCCCAGTGGCTTGGGAGGCTGAGGCAGGAGGATCATGAGTTCAAAGCCAGCTTCAGCAATGGCAAGGTGCTAAGCAACTTAGCAACTTGTCTCTAAATAAAATACAAAATAGGGCTGGGGATGTGGCTCAGTGATCAAGTGCCCCTGACTTCAATCCCGGGTACACCCCTGCCAAAATTAAAAAGTCCAACAGAGGAATTAGGGACCAAATGTGGTTGATCCTCTAGACCTGAATTATGGTTCTCAGGGGGCTTCTGATGGCAGTAGTGTCAAACATCCTTCCCCACCCAACCACCGAGAAAACAGGAAATGGTTTAACATAGGGCAAGTGGGGGACAGAGGAAGCCACATATCATTAACACTCAGAGGTTTTTCCAAAAAGACACATCCTTCTCAATTTTGAAACTCTGAAGACCATACTTAGTGTAAACAGACGCACTGGTCAGGCAGGAAAAAGTCCCTCATTCTTGGGAGACCTCCCAGTACAGGCAGATGGGGCAAGCAGCTCTGCTCTGATGACAGTCATCTCCCAGATTGATCCACTGTGGTCCGTGGTGCTGGGGTGGTAGAAGTTTGTTAAAGAGGCCGCTGGACATGGGGAAGGCAGACACTGTGAACGCCCTCTCCATATGTACCTCATTCACTTGTCTCCTGTCTCTCTTCTTTTCAGAGCAAAAACAATGACAAACTGGGGTGCCGTGCATGCAGCTTGGGAAGATATGGTAGAGAAGTACCTAAAGTATGACTTCTTCATGCTGTAGGCTCCCCTGTACTCCAGGGAGCATTCCAATGGCAGGCAAAGGGCATGGCCATTAGTTTATTGGGCACAGGAGTCCCTCTGGTAGGGAGCACAGAGCTCAGGGTGGTATGCTTGTCAGGAAAGGAGAGTGCATGCTGGTCCCAGCTAGGCACTGGCTGGCTTCTGCATCAGAGGCAGGGCCCAGTGCAGATACAATCATCCCTCCAGATCTCACAGGCCAGGAAGGAAGTCAAAAGAGCAAGACCAGAAGCTCAGGAATTGGCAGCTGGCTACAGGGTGCTCAGGGACAAACGAAACAGCCAGAAGGGGGCAGGAGAAGCAGGAATACCTGCAGGAAAGCATAAAGTGTATTATCTCAGATGATGCTGAAGTGTGAACTTTATCTCAAAGGATGGATTTTAAAAAAACAGGGTCACAGCAACCATCAAGGTGACCTCTACTGAACAGAATGCCGATTAGGCTTGGAACTGAGGGTCACTCAGGGGAGGGCTGGTAGATAAGGCAGGGCAGCTTGGTGACAAGGCCATAGGGGCTCACCATGCCAGGCAAAGGGGCTTGGATTTCCTAATATGAATCATAGAGAACCACAGAAGTATCTTTGGAGAGTAACAACATTGTCCAGATTGTGCTTCAGGGAGAAAACTCTGATAACTGTGTTTGAACTGAGTCAGGAACAAGGGCAGGAGTAGTGAGGAGTTCCATCTGGGAGAAGTGCTGATATCTTGTTAAGGGGTGACAGGTTCCTGGGCCAGAGGACACTGAAGAGGGAGAAGGAAGAAAGACATGTATGTGAATGGTTGCCAAGAATGGGAATGATTTCTTACGTAGGAGGAAGGAGGGAGTTATGAGGAGGCAGGAGGCCACCCTGACACTGTCTTCTCCTGGGCCCTTCATCTCCATACACTTCAGAATCCTTCTCTAAGTTCCTACAAACTCCCCTTATCTGAAATGGCCCCAGTGCAGAAGAGATGGGGTGAGGATCAGGGAAATATGCACCTCCTGCCTGGCTGCTTGCTGACATCCAGTAGAACCAGTGCATTCTCCTTTCATGAACTGTGCTTCCTCTTCAGTGCAAAGGTACGGATTTCCTACATACTCTTTGGCACAGAAGCCACAACAAAGATGTCGCTCACTTCAAATAGGTAGGTGCTGCTTTGAAGGGTGAGGCAGGCCTGACTGAGCCAGGTCACAGGGAGCTCCAAGGATCTGAAGGGTTCACTGAGACCTGGGTGGTGCTCCTGTCAGTGTAGATGATAGGCAGGTCCTGACACACCTAAGCACCCCTATTGATTTCACCATACTGGCTCCCCAGTCCCTTCTGACCCTTGCTGTGCTAGATCCAGAAGATCCTGTACTTTCTGAAACTCTCCATCCTCTGCGGCACTACCTTGTGAGGATATCCAGGATTCAGTGGGCTGGTGGAGTAGATAAGGAGACCTTTTAAGCACTATGGTCTGTGTATGGCTTGCCATGAGCAGGCCCATCTCTGTCCTGCCTCAGTGGGACAAGGTGACAGGCTGGGACCCTGAGGGGAGAGCTTGGGGCTTTGTGGAACACGTGTACCCAGAGGTGGGAAGTGGGGCAACTTCTGATTGGCTGGGAGGTGAGGGGGAGATTTGGATGCAATTTCTAGGGCTGCAGGCAGAGTTATACTGGTACAGGAGAGAGATGGGGACACTGAGGGTAGGCTGAGTATCTGTAGTTTGGGAGTAGTCACTTTCCAGTGCCCTGGAAATAGCCCGAACATAAGCAAACTGGATAAGCCAGCTCCAGGTTAGGTGGGGAGGCCAGAAAATGTGTAGAAAGGGTTTCCCACAGTTCTAGCTGGGAGAACAGGAGCAGCTGACTCTGTGGGCACAGAAGGCCTGGGTGGGGGTGGGTTGGGGAGAGACCTGAGTTGGTGTGAGGTGGTAGAGTGGAAGGATGTGGGAAGGATGCTGGCGGGGGTCCCTGAGGGGCAGTGTTGTTGGGCTGGCAGCAGGAGGTGCTGGGCTGGGCAGCCCCTGGTTTGGCCTTCCCTGAATATGGCTGGGTGTGGCCTCCTAACCTCCTGGGCAAGGCCAGGCAGGGCCAGGATTAGGACCCTCGGATCTCATCCTGTGGGACCTTCTCTCTGCCTGCAGTGGAAAGCCACCCTCCAGGTCCATTCTCTCGGTTGCTTTGTTGTGCTGCTTCAGCCCTGTCACTTTGGATTAGGCAGATCTAGGGCCCCTACTTATGCCATTATTGCCACCAGAGCCAGCTGCCTGCACCAATCCATGCTGACTGCTTTAACAGCCCCTGACAGACCACATCACCCAGTCACCCTCTGAGTTGGTCACCCTCACAGACAGCCTTCAGGGCCACTACCCCACTTGGAGTCTTTTGTTTCAGGAACACACGAGGTCCTGGAACCCCAGCTATCTCATTAAGCAGACTGGCTACTACCTTTGGCAGGGGAAAGGGAGGAGGTGAGTCAGGCCAGAATCTGTGGCAGTGAGGGATGGGAACTGACAGGACTCAGCAGCATGACCTTTTCCAAACTCAGCTTTTTCTATGGAAGGACAGAGTGCTTAGTAGGAAGGTGTTCTCGGTGTTAAGGTTAGAATTAGAAATACTGGAGTTATTAGTACTAAGAAATTCCTGACTCAAGCATGCATATCCCTGGAACTTCCCACTGTCACCAGGGACACACTAGTCATTGTCTATGCTGAGGTCCCCAAGGCCTGGGTGCCACGAGGCAAGGATGAGCTCAGGAGAGCCAGATACTACCATAGAATCTGCTCACCAGCCCCCTGACTCACCTGTTCTGGCATAGTGCTGCTGGGATCTGGGACAGAGAAGGGCACAAAATTTGTCAAAGACCCAAGACAGAATGGGGCAACTAGGCTAGTTGCCTGGTTTTGTTCCATATCTGGGTGGTCTACACAGTGGATAAATCTGTGGGATAGCTCTAGAGCTGATTTCTACCTGTCCACCATTCTATAGGCATGTGTTTTTTCATCTTTTTTCTTTTTCAGGAACACAATGCGTTATAATCTGGACTTAAATTCCTATCTTGCACCTAAAGGAGAAACGAATTTGCAGGAAGGACTTAAAAAGGTTTGGACCACTAATGCCACAAATCAATGCTGGCTCACAATTCTTACACTGTCACTGGGCTCATCTCATAGTTCTCCCTAATAATTCTTCATTTCTGTTTAGGCAAATGAGCAGATTCAAAATGCCAACTCTGGAGGTAAGCTGCCTGCTGCCTTCAGCATGGTGTGGGTGCAGGCACAGCGATGGTGCCCCTGGAAGAGTTCTGTGTGCAGATTCCTGTGGACATCCTCCTAACTCTTGCAGTCAGTTGCTCAAGGGTCAAAGAGGCAGGGCCACAAGGCAGGTTCCAGGGTGTTCCTGGATGGTTCCAAGAAGGGCATCAGGCCCTTTGTGTTCATGCATGGCTCTTGCATAAGGTCCTTGACCCATTCTTGGTCCCAGGGAGCAAAAGGGAGAAAAATTGCAGCAGTTTTGAGCAGACTGAGGCTTCAGGGTATGGAATACACTGCTCAGTTTCCCCTGCCTGGCCAGCCTTCCACTTCCTTCTCCCATCCATCTTGACTTGCCTCTTGGACCCATGTCTTGGAAAATGCACAGTTTGGCCCACCAAGAATGAATGTCCCTCTAGACTAGAAGCTTGCAGCTCCTGTCAGGAATAGATGAGTTCTGGTAGGGAACGGCACAAAGGGTCCCCTCCCCAAGTTCCTGAGTCCAAAAGTCCTGAACCACTGGGCGCACAGAGTCCACATACTATGGATGAATCAGATTATAGGCCTCTGCTGGCCTCACTGGGTCTCCTCAGCAAGAGGGTCCGGCTGTATCTCCCCTTACCCAGTTGCCAGGCTAGGGTTTATAGACAAACGGCTGGTCTTCCTCAGGGCAAAGAGCACGCAGTTTGAGGTTAGCTAGAGTCCAGACCTCCTGGTAAGAAAAGTTCTGAATCCCCAGTCTCCTCATCTGTAAAATAAGTCATAAGACAAATCCTCTTCTCACTTTGGGGCCTCGGGAGAGTGGGTGCTGTGTCTGGCCACCTGTCTCTGGACACTGAGGCATGGGGAGCTTGGACGTCTGCATTGGGACCATGTCACCCCATTCTCCTTTGACAGACACCAAGGTATCTAGTATAATCATTGTTCTACTTACTGGAGAAATAAAGCCACAAGCTTTACAGGAATCTAAGGAGGAGGTGAGTCCATCCAAGTCTCACCAGTGTTTTGCTCCATTTTATGTATTTTGATGATTTAGACTCATCACATTTTTTTCTCTTAGGCTGACAAAGCTCGGGGCATGGGAGCATACATTTACTGCATTGGGATGGACAGTTATAAGCTAAATCAGGTACTTCAGAGCAAGTGCTCAGGTTCCCCTTTGCAGCCTAGTCAGGGAAGTTCCCAAAGGCAGCCTCCTAGAGCCTGTCCGACTGGTTTTCTCATCTACCCTAGATGCAGAAAGATGACCAACATGTTTGAGTTAACTGGTCCCATGCAGAGGCAGGTATCTGAGCTTCCTACTCCCTGAGTCTGGACCACAGGCAGAAGCCGGCCTCTTGTCAGTGAGCATCTGACACTCTTTTTTCCCAACAGCATGAGAGCAAGAACTGTGTCCTGAATCTGGGCACCTCCTGCATCCTCATGTTCCTATCTCTCTCTATTATAGATGCAAGAAATAGCAGACAGTCCAGAACACATCCTTGAAGTAAAAAAATCACCTGAGCAACTGCATGACTTAGTTGACCTGGTGAGTAAGCCTGGATGTGAGCGAAGGTTGGCAGTGGCATCTCACAGGTGCCCCTGTGGCTCATACGCCCCTTTCTTTCTCAGTTTGGAACTAAGACCTGCCTGGAACTCAGATCTGTGGAACCTTCCCCTCTGTGTGTAGAAGGTGAGAACTGAGGAGTCTACTGTAGACAGAGGGTTGTATGCCTGCATGCGTGCGGAAGCTGTGTTGTACGTGTGTGAGTTGCATTGCATATGCAAGTACTGTAAAATGTGTATGCAGTGTGTGTGTGTGGATTTTATGCATTGATAAGATTGCCCATTTTGCATCATTTGTGATATGTGAGGTGTGTATGATGTATGCTGTGTGAGTGGTGGGGTATGATTGTGATTTGTGTATGTGTTTTCAGAGTGACTTTGTGCTGTGTGTACACAGTGCTATGTTTGTGGTATGTCTAATAAGTGGTTTTGTGTGTGGTATAGGTGTACATCTTGTGTTGTGTTTGAAGTTTCTGTGAGATATGTGTGAACATGTGGCATGCACACATAAATATGTGTATAATGTGGTAGGTTTGTGTTTTATGGGGTGTTTATGGCATATGGAATGTGTGTTATTCCTAGTATATGAGCCATATGTGGTGCCTGTGTATTATATGTGGTATGTGTGGTCTGATGAGTGATGTGTATTTGTGGTATATATGGTGGGTGTTATGATGTGGTATGTGTATGATATATATTGTGTGTTGTATTGTGGTGGTGTGTGCCTTGGGAAGTGTGTGTGATGTGTTTGTGTTCAGTGCTGGAGCAAGTGCACGTGGGGCGTGCAGTGTTAATTGTGCTGTGTGTGCACTCAGTGTGTGTGTTTGAGTATAGTAGGGAAGGTGGATGTGGGTGAGTATCTATGGGACTATGCATAGGTATATATATATGATGTGCCTTGTCATGAATGTGAAATGTCAGGAATGAAGCTGTGACTATGTGTGAAAGCACCATTATTTTTTATCTTATAACAAAAATTTAATTGTAAGTTTAGAAAAAAAAATATGGAGTATTTTAAAAATCCTCAAAGGAACTGGCAAATGGAATGCCATGACATATGAAAAGATCAACAGAAGCTGAGTATCCTCTATTCATAAGGCTTGGTACTGGAAATGATTTGGCTTTGAGACTTTAAAAAAAATTTTAGAATATTTGGGTGGACATAATAGGCTTCTTGGGGGATGAGACTTAAGTTAACAAGACATTTATTTACATACTACATACACATGTCCTGAAGATGACTTTTTATGATATGTTTAGTGTGTCTGCATTTTTTTTGGCAGCACAACTTTTAATTTCTCTGGTTGTACACAATGTAGCATCACACCATATGTGCAATCATCATGTACCTAGGGTAATGATGTCCATCTCAGTCCACTATCTTTCCTGCCCCCATGCATCCTCCCCACCTTCCCTGCCTTTTGCCCAAAGTTCCTCCTATGCCTCCCGCCTCCCTGTTATGGTTGAGTATCCACTTATCATAGAGAACATTCAGCCTTTGGTTTTGGGGGATTGGCTTACTTCACTTAGCATGATATTCTCCAATCCATCCATTTACCTGCAAATGCCATGATTTTATTCTCTTTTAATGCTGAGTAATATTCCATTGTGTATATATACCCCAGTTTCTTTATCCATTCATCTATTGAAGGATATCCAGGTTGGTTCCACAGATTAGCTATTGTGAATTGTGCTGCTATGAATATTGATGTGGCAGTATTACTATAGTATACTGATTTTAATTCCTTGCAGTGTAGACCGAAGAGTGGGATAAAAGCAATCGTGAAATTCATTTGGAAAAATAAGAGACCCAGAATAGCCAAAGCAATTCTTATCAAGAAGAGTGAAGCAGGAGGCATCACAATACCAGACCTTAAACTATACTACAGAGCTATAGTAACAAAATGCCATGGTATTGGCATCTACATTTTAATTGTGACTTGTCACCTAAGGTTACGTGTAGAATTTTCTACTTGAGTGATGTAGTACTGAAAGTATTCTGGATTTTGAAGCATTTCAGTTTTTACCTGTTCAGATAAGGAGTGCTCAACCAGTATGTCAAAAGCAATTTAAGACTCATCCCAGAAAGCCCAGTTAGAAGTGGGATTTGAAAAATCAGTAGTTTGTACATCCACAAAAACAGGGAAACAAGGTGATTATGTCAATGGATGTAGAAAAAGAACTAGGCACAACTCAACTTCTAGTTGAATTCCTAATGGTAACAAAGGAAGCTTGGCAAACACCTCCACCAATTCAACCAGGGCTCATGTCACCCAGTGGTTAAAGGGCCACATCTGTTATCTGTCCCCGAGGGCTGGACCTGGCCAGCATGGCTCTGTCTATCCAGAATCCCTGCTTCAGTGTGCTAAGAACATAATTCTGTGGTCTTGGGGGATGGCCACCTCTCTGTCACAAGCACTGTGTGCAGCCCTGGCCCCACATGGTTGGCGTCCTCACACTGTGGTTGATAGAGACAGAGCCTTCAGCCTCCTCCCTCTGGTGACAGCTCAGCTGCTACAGTGGCCTCAGCCTAGGCAGCTGGGGCCTGGCCTCTCTGCCCTTCTAGAGGAGGCTCCATGGCCACAGGCTATTAGCAGCAGCACTGTGTGCACATCTGCTACCTGTGGCACCAGGTCCACGGCAAAGTGCCAGATATCTGGGGACTGCAGTGTGGCCTAAAATGGATAGAAATAGCACTGTCAGGACTGTCGGGAGACACAGAGGTAGTGACTGGCTTAGCACCTGGCAGCTGGTGGGTCCTGATATTTCCATCCTGGTCCTTGGCTCAGCACTGCCCCCTGCCCCTGTGTATGTTGGGCAAGAGTGGGGAGACTGTAGTGCTGAGGGGTGGGGGTGGACTCAAGGACCCCCGTTCCACCACATGGCCTCTTCTGCTTCTGGTTTAAAGCAGCTCAGATGGCTGGTGCATGAGTGTCATTACGTGCCAAGGACACGTAGGCCTTGGCATCTGAGCAGTCGGGACAAACCCCCAGTGAGGATAGGAGTTGTCACTCCTTCTCTCAACAGCTGAGCCAAGATGATGGGCACATCCACACACCAGCTCAGCCACTGAACTGTTCATTTATTGGTCATTTTGTTCAAGGGTGCCACACCTGAACTGACAGTCAATCAGAAAGGAAGCCCAAAGTCGGAACCTGGGCTCTATTTCTCAGGCTGTCCATGAAAATCAACCCGTACATCAGGAAACCTGAGGAAGGAAGCCAGATACAGATGTTGGTTCTTGGTTAGTTCTCTAACCTGTGGCATCTCAAGTGTTATATGGGACTAGAGAAAGCCAAGTTGAGGCACTACACTGGTAGAAGGAAGTGTTTGGTGACCCCACTGAATAAGTGACCTCTGGTCCTTGATGTGTCATGGAGAGGCAGGGATGAAGGATCCTGTGCTGTCCTCATCATCTGCAGCTGAGACAGGAAGTTTTCTGTGATGGATTCTCCTGGGTAGGGTCAGTGCTTCCCTGCCCTGCACCCTGTGTCCTGGACCTGCTCTTGGGTCTTGTGCCTGAACATGATGGGATTTCCAGGTGGAGAGAGTCATACCTGAGTTGGTCCCTGGAACCAATATCTCTTTCATGTGCTTATTGGGTCAGGGATGGTGGGTGAGGGCTCCAGAGCTTGTAAGGCCCGACCTATGTACATCAGTATGGAGCATCCTTGACATTAGATAAGTTTTATTTTTCCCCTGAGGGACCCAGTGTTTTTGGTTCAGATACACTTTGTAGCAACTCCTGGAAATTCCATCTTGGGGGTAAACCCTCAGGAGCAGTTAAATCAAAGAGAGCACAGAGCCCAGCTCTATTTCATTAAAACCTTTGAATACTGTTCTTGTAGGATCCAAGCCAGTAATTTTAAAAGGATATGGATTTAATAATGGAAAGACTAACGACCAAATTATCTGCAGATTCAAATTCAGTGATTCCAAGGTCATTGGTAAGTCGCCTCCTCAGTATCTCTTAGTAATACATTTTCCACACAAATCTATGATTCCCCTCAGCTGGATGGCCCCTATTGCATGTTATGGGGTTGGAAGCAGTGTGGACACGTGATAGGAGAGACCTAGATGAGATGCCCAGCCACCTCATCTTTCATCTGCAAAGCAGTATAGCATCCCTAGCACAGGAAGAGCACCTTAGAGCAGCACTCCACCCTTCAGTGAAACTGGGTTTGGGGCTGACCTGACCTCATAGCAGCATTTCCCCACTCCATCATTGGTTTTCTTCCCTGGGAACAGAGGACCTGAACCTCGAGACTGCCATTAAGAAGCGCATCAACCCTGGATTTCTGAGCCTGGCCAAGTACAAATATAAGCCTTCAAGGGAGGGAGCATTGACCTTGTCTATAACAAAATGCCAACTGAAAAGTGATAGCAACCAAAGTATTCCATTTAACCAGTGTGCTTCACTTGCAAAGGCCTCTCCTCTCAGCAAGGTTATGTTGGGCTTTCTGCTCATTCCTACCTAAAGCCCCTGCACAGGAGGCTGAGTGACATTACCCACCCCCTACACACACACACACACACACACACACACACACACACACACACACTCCTGCACTGCATCAACACCCAACTGAAAAGTCAGTGCACGTCTCTGTGGAGATTTTTTTTTCAAATATTAATCCAAATATTTCATCCTCAGAAGCAAATGCTTTCCCTAGCAAAATTTTTCTGATTGCTTCTTACAATCAGTATCAATGGGAGCATAAAATGGTGGTTCAGAAATTCATGGGTGATAGGGTGTTGATTTAAGGCAAACAAACCAGTTTAGATGATAATAAGCCTTTTCCTAAGGAATATCTGTGACCTAATCTCAAAAAGAGAAAAAGTTTATAATCTTTTGTGTAATATGAAAAATAACTTTTATATTTAAGTTATAAAGTTTATGACTCTTATTACATTATTTTAGTTTTTTCTATAAAAAATGATGAACCATCTAAATGCAGATATAAGGAATAAAAAACATTCCCCCATCCCAAATTCAAAGATGAGTAGTGTTGGCACTCTCAAATTCTCCATAAGTTTAATTCTACTTGAATGTGATACTTTAAAAGAGAAACTGAAATGGGATAAACAAACTATGGGGAATCACATAAACATTTCTTCATGGGACAGATCTGTTCCCAGTGTTGCTTGAGGTGTCAAGGAAAGAATAGAGAAACTCAGAGCTCAGGGATGTAGGTGGGATTTCTTCTGTTTGGCTTCTGGTCTGTGTGCTCTTTTGTAAAATAGCAAAATATTTCTAAAAAGATAAGCCTTTTTTAAAAATTGAAGAACAACATTTATATCTAATATTATTAGGAGTAGAGACCCTCCCTGGAGTTTGGGCCCTCCAGTGGGCAAAGTCTTCCTGATGGAGACAGCAGAGCATCATCCCTGCCCCATGGCTCAGCCCTGGCACTGCAGCTCAGGGAGAAACCTTCACAGTCCTTCATCTGTGCCCAGAGGTCAGCTGGTGCAGAGCTGTGGTTCTGGCCTCGATAGAGGTGACACCCAGCTCCCCATGCTTTGGAAAGCCTGGGTCACGAGGAAAGAGAAGAAAGAACCCAGAGGAATGGTTCCTCCCTGAAGCACAGATGGCAGGTCCTCTGAGGCTATTCATTTCAGCCTGAAAAGGTGAAGTCATGGACTTGGGAAACTGGAATCTGCAATTAAAGAACTGGCAGATTCTGCAACTAAAGCCAGCAGGGTTGCAGATCTGCTCTCACCTCCTGATTTGGATCAGGACTGAGAAGATCCCAATGCTGCAAGTTATGGAGCTCTTCTGACCCTCCCAAGTGAGGGGAGGAGAAAGAAAGAGAGAATCTCTATTCACTCCTCAGGTTTCCCCATCTCACCACCATCTGGTCAAAACCCAAATGTCATCCTTACTTCCTCTTAGCTTTTTCTCCATATCCTTTCTACCAGGAAGCTCTATAAAATCTGTGTCCAAACGTCATTTAAAATCTGTGCAACCCCTGAAAGATTCTTCAAACTGGGAATAAAATTCAAAGATCCCACCCCCACCCCAATCTCTTAGCTCATTTCCTTCCATCAACAAGCTCAGGAGTTCATGCCTCAAGGCCTTGGCACGTGCCACTCCCAGAGCACTCTTTCCTTGCATTGTTCCCTGGCCTCCAAAGTTTGGTTTCGGATCAAACATCAACACCTCTCTAGTTCAATGGCAACAGTCCACAGCATACAAAAGCGGCAAGAATTGTACAATGTACTTGAGGACCCCATCTTCTACTAGGGATCACTATTAAATTGCTTAGGGGTCAGGCTAGCTTGCCTGAGGCTATCAGAGTGCCAAGGGGTGGATGGAAAGGTCCACTGACAGTCTTCTCATTTCATTGTCTCTTAGATTTCCATCCAACTGCTATGAACATGACATCATTAACATGTCCTAAACCAGACGTACAACTCGGAGAGTGAGTGTCTATGATTCTGGACTCTAGAGGTCCAAAGACAATTGCTTTCATTAATTCGTACAGAAAGTGGGATGTCCTCTCCACAAGGCAGTTCACATCTACATGCTTTTGATCTAAGGACACGTATGTCACCTGCCCTTTTTGCTGACCTTCAAGGTATTGAGGGGTCCACAGTGGCCCAGGTTTTGCTGAGGGAAAGAAATGAAAGGATGTGCCTCAGGACTGGTCCCTTTGCTCCAAGTCACATTTTAGAGCAAAGATGACAAATCTTGTAAATAAAGTGGGCATAAGAGCATGAAGCAGTTCTTCTATTCCCTTAGACCATGGCCATGCTGGCATCATAGGGTATGAGGTCCTCTCACTGCCTGAGCCCTTGTCATGGGCAGTGCTGCAGATGTTGGCCTCATAGTACTCTGGACAATAAGCTCTCATGACTTCCTTCTGTGCTCTCTAAAAGCCTCAAATTTCCAGAGGCATTAACATGAGGAGAGCCGTGTCCTCCACATTGAGCCAAGACCAGAACCTTGTCCTTACAGGCTGCTTCTCATTGTCTATCCTTCCCGTGCCCTAGAACCATCACAGTTGAAGTCAGCCTGAACAACGGGAGGAACTTTCTGTACCGCCCTATCCCTGTGAATACGACTATGGATTGTGTGAGTACCTGGGGGCAAAGGGCTACAACCCATCTGGGCTGTCTAGAGCCCCAGCTCTGGGTAGAGGTGCATCCTGGGGATACCTAAGGGCAGAGGGTCTTAGGAAGAACTGTGAAGCAGCTTGTACAGGTTAGGGTCATCAGATGTCCCCATCCTGTATTCCCCCTGGGCAGTGGAGGCTAGAGGTTGGCTGTTAGGATATTGTCTAGGATATCTCCAGGTGGGCTTTCCAGGTATAAGGATCTGGAGGGTTCCACTAGTTGGATAGATGTGCGCCACTGAATGTGTGCTCCAGTCACTGACCAACTCTGGACCCCCTCCCCAAAGCCTCCTTGATGACACCTCTTTCATTTGCAGTACCCTCAACCTCCTCTGCTCTCTTTCTCTTGGGCTTCCTAGCTGTCCCCCATCTGCTTGCTCCCTCTCACCTGCAGTGCTTCCACCCCTGCTGTGGTGTGTGGCCTAGCTCAGCTCCACCTCATGTAGGAACCTTAGCCCAGGGCAGCATGAGGGGAGCATGTACCTGAGAGGCGGAAAGCATACGCCCACTTGATACCACCCTTGAGTCCTATTTCAGTTTGTGAGGCTCCCCACTGATTGGACAGCTCCCCTTTGTGTCTGCCTTGGCATGTTCCATTGTACATCTGTTCATGTACAGATTAGACTGGTGGATTCAAACACCTGAATCATGAATAGTCTAACCCCCCACTCCCCCACCCCCAAGAACTTTCCCAGGGACAGGCAGAATTAGGAAAAAGCTGGCTCTGTTAGTTCATGCCTATCATCCCAGGAACCTGACTTGGGAAGCCGAGGCAGGAGAATTCCAAGTTCAAGATTAGCCCAAGTAACTTAGCAAGAACCTGTCTCAAAATAAAAATAAAAAGGGCTACGGGTATAGTTCAGTAGTCAAATGTCTATGGTTTCAGTCTCCAGTAATGCCCCAAAGAGCACAGGAGTAGCCTACTGTCTCCAATTCAGAAAGCAGTCATCACTGTCACCCTCTCCTTTCGGCCACCTGTTTCTTGGGTACCTGTGCCTTCCCCTCTGTGGGCTTTGCAGCCTTCTCTTTGAGCCAACCCATGACTCAGGGGCTAGCAGGGAAAACTGTGCCCATGGGATATCCTGGGCTTCCTGAACAGTGAATGACAACCAGGAGATCTGTCCCCATTCCTTAAGCACCCTGTGAGCCTGGGCCTGTGCTGACTATCTCTAAGCTCTCTGAAATCACAAGTGCCCATGAAGGAGGGCTGATACTTCACTCTGTGCAGAGGTGCAAGCTGAGGCTCAGAGGGAGGAGTGGTGAGTCCAGAGCCACAAAGTAGGAGATAGGCAATGGTAAGCAGTCGGTTCTCCTGCCCATGCTTTTGGACCTGCAGAATATCCTGGGCCTTCCTGGGCAGATCCATTGAGCAGGGCCAGAGATGGTATCTGCTGCTTTCTGGGAACCATACCTGTATGTGGACCCTTGAAGACAGTCAACCTGGGGGGAAAAGTGAGCAGAATGGGATGCCAAGTAGTAGGCACATGGAAAAGGCATTCCTGGGCCCTTCTCAGGCATCTGCCACTAGGATTGTCAGCTGGGTATACTTCACATGATGACCTCTTTCTCCCACAGGCCCCTCCCTTAAAACCTGTTATCACTGAGTACCCCACCTACCCACCAGAGGTTTATTCACCTGCACCGATGCCTCCACGCCCGAATATCACTCCACCTCCGAAGCCTGCAACCCCAGCCACCCCACCCCCAACAACTACAGCCCAGGCCATCACTCCATCACCAACTTTCATTTATGTAGAAGCTGATCCAACCCCAGAAGAAAAGCTTCTCACATTGGTGCTGTCCCTGCTATTGATCCCAGTGGTGCTGTGGTGGATCTGGTGGTTATGCTTCCGGAAAGTGAGTATATTCTGCCCAACTAGGGGCAAGCCCATGTGAAAGCCTCATGATCTAGCTTGTGGACAATTCTCCATCTGCATTGAAACTGCAGAGGCACGACTACCATCTTCACAAAACCAGACCCTCGTCAACATGGGCACCCACAGGGCATCCTGCCCAGGCTTCTGCAGGGCATAGGTCAGGCATGCCTGGACTCTGAATATGGCCTGTCCTGACCTAAAGACAGAGGTCACCCCAGAACCCCTGATAAAAGGGCTACTTCTTTGCAACAAAAGTCCTCAGATAGACAAGAGGACAGGATCTGCCACAAATTACTGATGGTCCCAAATGCAGGAAGGCACTGACCAGGGAAGATTAGTAACTTCTGGGATAGAAATACTATTAAAATCAACAGGGATTTTGGTTTTAATCTGCACATTTTAGTACCTTCTAACATTCCTTCATCTCTCATTACTAAGCCCAGGCTGCACTCCAGAGATAAAAGAAATGAAAAATCCACCATCCTGCTTATAGAGAGCTCAGAGTCTTGCACTTGTGGAGCACATGAGTTGAATGATAGCATCTTACATGTACCCAGTGTCTGGGCAAAACAGAACAATAGCAAAGGACTGAGAATGGCACCTTGGAGCAATAGGAAGGACAGAGGCTCTGGTGAGAACTTCCCAGAGAGCTGTAGGACAGAAGCAGAAAGAGCAGGCGTAGGGAGGACAGAACACCCAGCCCAGAGCAGGCCAGTCCTATCTCTACCCAGAAGAGCAATGAGCAGAGCAAGCCAATTGACTGTTCCAAAGGCCAGGAGGTCAGTAAGAGCTCTAAAGATAGCAAGGTTCTCCCAGAGGAAGGGAGAGGAGAGTGTGTTCTGGCTGCAGGTGGGATTTGGGCAGATGTGCAGCACTTCATCAACTGAGTCTCCTCAGGCACTGGCACTTTGGCCTGGATCATCTTTTCTGACCCTATAGGGAAATATGAGGATCCTTTTGGGTCATACTGAGCCTGCTGAACACAAAACCACAAGAACTAGATGCCCACATAGACACCAAGCCTGTGTGCTGTCTCACCACTCCATCTGAGGGTTCTCTGTTGACAGGGCACCCCATCAAAAAAAAAAAAAAAACACCCACCAGTGTTAGTCAGCCTTCTGTTACTGTAATAAAATCCCTGAGATAACGATCTGAAGAAGAGAAAAAAAAACTTATTCTGGCTCACAGTTTTGAAGCTTTCAGTTCATGAACATTTTTGGCCCTTGGCTTTTGATCCTGATTGAGGCAATGCATTCTGATGGGAAGATGTCTTCGAGGAAATCCTTACCTTGTGGCTGGAACTGAAAGAGAGGAAGCAGAGAAGCACAGTGTCCCCTTCGAAGGCATATCTCTAGTGACCTAACTTCTTGCCCCACTTCCCAAGTAATAAACTACCTCCAAGAGCACCATAGGTGGGGGTCAAACGTTGAGCACATAGGCATTTGGGGGAAACTTATCCAACCCATAGCTGCACCTCACAGCCTCCCACCCCTTTGTGTCTGTTTAACTTTCTAGGCCAAGCCACCACCGCCACAGATAATAGAGGTGAGTCAAGCTTTGGATCCTGACATTGTCACATGCCTCGGGAGAATGACCAGCAAAAGAGAGGCATCATGAAGCTGGCTTCCAGAATCTCCCACGTATTTTGGCAAAGAAGAAGGGGACAGAGTGTTGAGGGAGAGTGGGACACTGATGGCCGCCCTCTAGGCACCGCTCACCTCCTGCTGACCATGAGGTCCTGGAGACCACAGCCCTCCAGGCTCCCTCATGCTGAACATGGGTCTTTATCACAGAACCACCACCTTGGGGCCCTCGGTCAGCATCTGTAGCCATCATTTCTAACTAACTGGGCTTTCTGTGGATCCCAAAGGGCTTCTGCAAGATGTTAGATACTCCAGGGGGCTTTCTGGAATTGAAGCCATTGACCCTGGTCCCCTTCTCCAGACTCTGATGGTCTGTTTGGCTTCTCCTTCGAGTGTCGTCATCCCTGTCTCCTGGCAGGAATGAACATAGGCTTGGGTAGCCTTAGGGATCTCAGAACCAAGGGTAGAAGGTCTCTTAACCATCCCCGGAGTCTGAAGAATGCCACCCTAGGTGAGCATAGCCACCAAGGCTGGGTGAGCTTCCCATAACCCGTGAGTGTCCACAAGGCGTGGGGAGGCCACATCTGCACTTGGCAGAGCCAACTGGAAGCGTCAGTCACTTGAAAAAGAGGAGGGTCACTGAACAACCTCCAGACCAGGCTCCTGCCTGCAAAGTAGTCTCCAGGGAGCTAAGAGCACAAAAATGAGGTTGTTGGCAGTTAGAGAAAGGCCAGTTTGGCCAGTTTTCATAGAATACACTCCCCCTAGTGTAGGGTGCTACTCACTGGTCATTTCATGTGCCTTAAAACATGAGCTGAGTGGCCCCACAGTACCAGGTGGCTGTGTCCAGCTCCCCAGAAGCTGCAGACAGGGACACAGACAACTTCTTTTCTCTCCTAGAAACTAAAAGAGAAGCCACCTCCTCCCCCAGCACCACCTGTGAACGTGTGTCCCACCATAATACTCTGCTGCTGTGCCTGCCGTGGTGTGAGTGTGAACCGAGGCCTGGAGGTGAGAAGAATCCTGGGAGGGGGGTGTCTGGCATCTCTGACCCCCAGCTGGACTCAGGATAGGGCAGGTGGTTAACGTTACAGAGTTTGGGATCTGAGAGGGGACGTGGCTTAGGGGACTAGACCTGGATCGCTTGGTACAGGAGGACAACGAGAGGCCCATGCTGCCCTCATGGCCAGGAGAGGTCAGCATGCATGGGGGCTCTTCTCTGCAAGCCTGTCCTAGTCCCAGGGCCCCCTTTGATCAGTGACCCCTGGCTGATGTCTGGCTAGACTCTGGTTTTTACTGACAGAAGCTTTGGCTCCATTCCCTTGGGTGTCAGCCTCTGGCCTGCTGGTGACGAATCAAAGCACAGTAAGTAACAAGTTGGGTTACGAGGTCAGGGACAATAAAAACAAAACAGAAACACTCCTGAAACACCTTTTGTCCGACCGTGAAAATTCTGAAAATGCCACGAGCACTAGGCATTCCCCTGTGGGAAGAGCAAGGCAAAGAGCTGACTCAGGGACCCTACCACCCATTGAGATGGGGCCATCAGAGCCACAGGGAGGAGTGACAAAAATGGAGACCCTAAAAGTGCCACAAGCTCAGAGGCAGGACATGAAAAGAGGACAAAGCCAGTGAAAACCGGGGCTATTTGTCTGTAAGAACCAGAGTCCACCTTGGTGAGGGAGAAGCTGGCCAGACAGAGCCATGGACCCAGGACAGGGGTGCACAGGCTCCCACAAGTCTGGTGTGGAGAAAGAAATAGCCCCGGTCTTCATTGGCTCTGTCCTCTTTTCATGTCCTGCCTTGGAGATGAATCCATCCCTTCAGGAAGCCTCCAGTACCTCTGCAGCCTCTCAGGCAGCTGAGAGGCCATCTCTGCCTCTCCCATCACTGTGGGTCACAGAGAAACCAAAACACACCTCCAGAGAAGGAGCCACTCCAGTGGGCTTTGCAGTCTTCAGGGCCTGGCCCCAACCACTCAGGGCTCAGTGGGTCCTGAACCGTAGGACCTGAGGCAATGTGCTGCCTCCCACTCATCCAGGGTCTCTTTCTGGCCTCCTTCCTGCCTTCCTTTTCTCTCTGTCCTGGGCTCAAGCACCTTCCCCTGAACAGGACATGATGCCACTTATCGGCCTTCTCCTTACGTGTCCCTCTAAATGCAGTCCCCTCCTTTTCCTGGAGCCCCTGTCAGGAACCCCAGATCCACCTCCTGCTTCCTGTTGAGGACCTCCGCTTGTCAGGCACACGTCCCTCTAACCTTTGAACTTCTCTAATGCCAGCTTTTGACTTCTTTTCCTACCCCCAAATGCAGTTTTGCTCCAGATCCTCAACGTGTGCCACAGTGACCACCGACACACTCAAAGATGGCCGGTGCCCTCTCCCAGGAACTAGCTGGAGTTTTGTCTTGTCATTTCCCTGGGGACAGAGTTCTTACTTGAGAGGAGGGTCCCATGGCTTTGGGGAGTCAGCATCCATGCTGTGTCACCACCTCATGTCCTCTTACGCTTTTCAGAACAAGGTGACCCTGCGCAATTTAGATCAAGCATGCTGCCGCCAGTTGCCATTGACATGGCCTCAGGTAAGTGGGACATGGGGAAGCTCCCTGTGAGCAGAATGGCCACTGCTCTTGTCCTTGAGAGTTGTCCTCTAGATCCAGAGCTCTGCCTGGGCCCAACCCAAGGAGAAATGCCCAAGACTTTCTACAGTTCAACCATCCACCTCTCAGACAATGACTGCCCATGGCACCTGTGAGTCCCACTGGTGGTCACTGGCCCAGGAAGGCTGACAGGTATCATTGGTAGTGCTGACTGGCCAACACTACCCTCTTTACCAGGAAGTGAAGGTCCCTTCCAGTGTCACCACCTTGTCACCATTGGGAAACCCACACTGTTGGGGTTTCTCCTGGAGTGCCATTATACTAGTCCTTAGTGAGTCTACTGTGTGGTAGCTACATGCTAAGGCCTCTCCATCTCACCCCATTCTAGTCTTCCCAGGACCTATATAAAGATGCCAGTATTTTTCCATTTGAAACCAGGGGGAGCTGAAGCACACGGAGGCTGAGTGACTTGTCCCAGGTCCCAAAGCCTGGAATATATAGAACTGGACTCTAACTTGGGTCTGGTTTCTGCCCTTTTCATGGCCTGACTCATAACACATAAGCTTCATTTTGGTTATCCCAAACCCCTGGAAGTCTTCCTTACATAGTCCCCAGAGACCCCGAGAACCTCTTAACTGGCCTGAAGCTTATCTGCCTGGGCTCCCCTTCCCATTTTACAGACCAGGACCTGGGCCCTAGAGAATGGCCAGTTCCCTTAGTCTGTACGAGAGAAGAAATGGTCAAATTCTCTGAATCAGATCAACACAGGACAAAAAGAATCCCCACCAGCAGGAAAGGCCCTTCCTAGCCCAGGTCAGGGTTGATGACATCCATGGGGTAGGAGGAAGGGAATGTCAGAGATGGACATTCCCTGGGACTGACACAGCTGCCCCAGGGAGATCTGAATATGGCCAGCACAGTCTGAGGATGGGTCCTGGGCTCTGTGCTCAGCCAGCTCATGGTGGGAGGCAGTGGTAGCTGCACTACACTATGGAGCCTGTCCTGAGGAAAAGTCAAAGAGGCTAACCCTGACCTCTGTAGACCAAGGTCTCTGTCAAGTCCATGGCTGCTCTGGTGGCTTTTTCCCTGGGCTTAGCCCTGAATTAGGCATGTGACGAGATCCTGAGAGGGGAATAAGAGCCCTATTTCTGCATGAGAGTGTGCTTGTGGGGGAGGAGGGGGAGGGAGAGGAAGAAAGAATCAGCCCAAGTGCTCTGGGCTTCAAGGACCACAGTGCTCCACCCAGGCCTCACCTGAGATAGACGCGTGTCAGAGGTAAATTCGAGCTGATGATCAGGCTGGGAGGATAGTTGAACTTGAAAATGCAAAATTGAAACTGAAGTGGGGAGAAGGATCCTGCAGGGCTGATGGACAAGGTAGGGTGCTGTCAGCATATGGAGACAACTGACGAATCCAGGAGCCTGGCTTTGGAGTGCCTAGGCAGTGGGACTAGATTCAGTAGGTATGCGGGAGCCATTCTGGAGTATATCAGCAGGAAGGGAGAGACTCATGTATGGCCCTGAATGGGGGTGAGTGGGGAAAGAAAGACTAGGGAGACATGGTTGAGTCAGCTGAAGAGGGAGCCTGACTCTTGAACAGGTATTAGGAGCTCAGGTGAAGAGGAGAGTAGACAGGCCATGGTGCTGACAAGTGGCTTAGGTCTGATGGGACACAAAGGGTCCATGAGCTTTGTCCCCGATGAGTGCCAGCAGAGGGCAGAAGAAGCAAGATTGGTCTCAGGAGAGGCAACAATCCTCAGGGCCTATGGTTTTTCACATGCCCACATGAATGGACCACATGCAATCCTAAGGGTCTACATGAGACAGAGGCAGAGGGAAACTGGAGACAGGAGACCATGTGAGAACACAAACAAGGAGAGAGAACCTCAGCCAGACCCATGTGAAGGTCAACCCAACATTTCCCCCAGAGCAAGCTGCAAGGGATCCCTTTAGACCAAACAAAGAAGACTGGTAGGGAGAGAGGTGATTCCAGATACACATGCTACCTGTCCCAGGGACCTCCTGCCCCATGGCTCTGCCATGGCCCTCCTACCCTGCACCACCTTAAGCCTGTCCTCAGAGTCCAAGACTCACACTAATCAAGACAGCCAGTGTACTACCCAGGGAGGCCCACGTGACATAGATATGTTCTCTGCATGTTTGTCTCTGTATTTTGCTGCTAGATTTTTATGCCCAGGTAATCAGGAATAAGCCTGTCTGAAAAATGGATCCTGGAATTTTGGAAATTCCTAAGTGTCACTCACTCCAAGTCAGGTAAAAGAGACTGGGTTCTAAGTCCGTCTTTGACCTTGCCTAAGACTCTCAGCCAAGTTGGAGAGTGGGGCAGTTCCCATCTCTAAAACTGAGCCAGCAATGCCAAATGCTGATTAGTAGCCCTGTTTTCATGGCCCCTTCTTAATAACAGAGAATTGGTATTGCTGAGAGAAAAAAAAAAAGTGTTCAGCTGTGAAAAAATATATTTCTCAGTCTCTTGCTGAACACAGTGGGTATATGAGTAAAGTCTGACAGTTGGAATAGAAACAGAATTATTGTATAGCACTTTGTGGAAAACTCCTTTGCCTTTTTCTTCCTTCTTTGTGGCTAGAATAGGAGAATTAAAGCAATTGGAGAGACTGATCTATTAAAGGAAAAATGTTGGAGTTTCCTGAAGGCCAGGGCTTTAGCATGTAGTCATTTTGATAAAAAATCTTTCTGGATGACACTGGGCTTTCCCAAATTGTGTATCTTCCAGTGTAACACCTCCATAGAATTTCTTTTTCTTTTGTAGTCTAAACATATTTTACAGCACAGGTTGGAGACGATGACAACCTCATGCACAATCCGAACCTAGGTATAAAAGCTTCCAAATTATCCTGGAAGGCTGAGGCCAGTGCAGGGAATATCAATGTCTTCCTAGGGTATGCCCACACATCAGAGCTGTGACGGCACCATCTCAGTAACTGCAGCTGGGGTCAGAGGAGAGTCCTGGAGATGCTCATGGGTGTCACTTTACCTCAACTTGCCCACCTGTGAATGAGCTGTCAACCATGCCCACAGTACACCATGGTGTCCGGATGGACACTGCAGCAGCTGAGCCCTGTCCATGGATTCCTTTACCCCCAGGGCTGTCCTATCAGCTCCTGCTCTAACTCAAGCCCATGTTTCTCAGGGTAGCAGAAGTCCACTGAGCCTTTGCTGAATCTGTCTGGGCCTGTGCGTGGCCATCAGACAACAGTGGTCCCTGGCAGCACTCCACAGAATGTGCACATGGGCTTCCTTGGAGTTGTCATGCACCTATCAAGCCAGCTGTGGCATGTGAACCACCTGAGTACTGCTGTCTTTCCTGGAACGCTCTCTCTCACGGAGACTGTCTCTTCTCACCTCCAGACTCTACCCTGCTGCCTTCTCCTGCCTCTGTCCATCTGACCCTCATCTGGGAACAGGATGGTTCCTTCTTTGTAGCCATCAGACCTTGTCCTGAGCCTTCTGTGTGTGCAGTTGCCTGTCTACCCTTCTTCTCCTTTGGGCTCCTTTGCCCATTCAGGTGTCAGGTTTTCTCTCAGTCCATGCAAAGGCATCCCCTGGTCTCCCTGGCTCTACTCATCCCTAAGTCCAGGCATCCGAGAGTCTCCTCCAAACATCTCCCATCTTCCAGGAGAGGTACCAAAAAGCCACATGTTTCAGGATTAGAACCTGAGTTTCTTTCAGGGCCCTTATTCAGTGAGCATAACAAGACACTGAAGTAGAAAGTTCTTCAAGCAGGGACTAACTGATTCTGAGCCTGTACAATGGAAAGTCAGTGATTGGTTAGGTCCAGAAAGGCAGGAAGACCTGATGTATGAGTGGATATGGCATAGATGGTGTGTATGTCCACAGAACACACTGAGGAAGGACCACAGAGCTTGGTCTGTGTACCTAAATGCCTTCCAGAAAGTTTCTCTGGGTTTAAAAGTGATCACCCACTCTGGTCCTTAAGGAGCTGCCCTCTGGAAGCTGGCTGGGTATGGGAGAGGCCAGGCTAGTCTTCCTTCTCCAGACAGACAGGAGGCACATTCTAACTGGCCGTGTGCATCTCCTGAAGTAAGTACATCCAGAGATCTGCAAACTGGCCCCTGTGAAATAATGACCCTCCCTGGTTCACGTTAATCTTTAGAGTGAAGGCTGAGGTGCCTTGATTTAGCTGTAGCTGGGACAGGGATATGACGTTGGCAAAGTCAGGAGTGATTGGTACTGCAGAGAGTTCTTGCTGTCCCGTCAGCTTCTGCCCAACCAAGGGGACCTGTGGAGCTGCTCCTGCATAGCCTGCTCCTACTCAAGCTGTGCCCTACCAGCCTCCTGCAGGGGTCTCCAGAGCTCAGTATGGGAGCCCATCCTGCTCACAACACTCACAGAGCTTTCTGGTGGGCACTGGCATACCTGGCACACAGAGGGAACTGGTGCCTCATCCTTTGTCCCCAAGCTCATGGTCCAGGAGAATTAGACAAATTCAACCTCAGAGTCAAGGGAGGAGTCAGAGCAGAGCACCCAGGGTTGCATGAGAAAGCAGTGTTTACTTCAGATGCTTCAACTGAGTCTGAGAGGAGCACTGGAGTCTGGAGGCAGCCACACAGAAGAAGGAGAAGTTTCACTGAGGCCTTCCCTGTGGTCCCGATGGTCCTGACCTGAACCCTTGAGCTAGGCAACCAGAGTCCAGTTCCTATGGACTCTCAGTGACCACCGCTTTCTTCTCTTCCTTATAGGAGGCGGGTAACCTCGCCCTCATGCCGAACCTCTGTACACAGACCTCCTCAGGCTCAGCCATCTGCCTTCAGCCTAGCCAGGGTTACCTCCCCATTACCTACTGCTCCCAGTGCCACCCACAGTCAACCAGGTGCTCCAGTCCTCCCTCCAGGATATTGCGGATGCTCCCTGCCCCTTCACAAGCAACCAGAAGAACTGTATATTCACTCCCACCTCCATAGCCCAACCCAACCTCTAACCACTAAAAAGCCTAGAATAAGAGGTCTCAATCACTCAATTGAACATATATGTTGAATGTTGAATCTAGGATTATAATAAAAAATGGGTTGGGAATTGGTACTGGTCTGCAGAGGTGTGTCACCCAAGGAGATGCTCCACTCAATGAAAGGTATTTATGCTGCACTGGCGAGGACAAAGCACCCTGGTGTCCTGTGGATGGTAGGCATGGGTGAGTCTCACTCACTACGTCTCTGTCTTCGTGTGTCACCAAGGTCTCAGACACATAGGGTCTGCTGCAAAATTCTGTATGAAGTAACTCACCCAATTTTTGAAATACAAATATTATCCTAGCCTCCTTTGTTAAAGTTTTGCAAAGAGAAGTACTTGGAATTTTTATTTTCTTTGATTTCCAATTCTTGGACTCCCAAATTCAAATGTTTCCTAGAAGGAAGTGAAAACCCTTCTGGAAGTGAGTCTTTCTTTCTAGATGTCTCACAGAGTTACCCAGCCCAGGGAATTTCAGAAGATCCTCTGCATTTCCCTGGAGCAGGCAAATCTCGTCCATTTGTCCTTTGTCACCAGAAAATATGCATGGGCCTCATCAGACCCATTTTGCATGCAAGTTCCCACCACTCAGAACTTGTACCTGTGACTGTGTGACTACCCAGGTGCCAGGCAACAGGTCTGGGAGCCTCATATGTGGTCATGAACTACTCAGAAGAGGCCACTGCACAGGTAGCCTACTTTTCCCTAGTCCATCTGGATTGTGAACTATTGTCTACTCTCCCCCATCTCCTTGGAGGTTATATTTAGACTTTGTGTTTACATTTCTCTGAGGCAAGTACAGAAAAAAAAATGCACTGCTATGATTTGTAATCAGCATCGATTACATTGGAAGCATAGTGGTAGCCATACTGTCCCCCAAGTTTCCAAGAAGAAGGGGTTAGCTGGAATGGCTTATATTATGTGTGTAGGGATTGTTTGGAGGCTTCTTAAGATCACATACCTTTGACATTTAAAGCATTCATTCCAGGAATTGCTAATTTTTGTCCCTTCCTCAACTTCTCTTTCCTGCACCAACCTTAGCTGCCGCAGCCAGGCCTCCACATCTGAGTCACACCAATTGCACTGATGGGACCTGAGTTTCTCTCTACCTTTCAGGCCTCTCACTCCCTGGCAGCACATCTGCCTCACAGTTGGGTGTTAGTGGCCTCCCTACATTCCGGAAAAATATTCCAAGTAAAATCCAAGGAAATGGAAGAGAAAGATCCAACTCTGGGAGTAGGGGGGGCTGTAGACTCAGCAGTCAAGTTTTGCCCCATTTAGAGATTCGAAGACTCACTCCCAGAGCAATAATGGGGGCTCTGGAAAAGGAGCAGCTCTTCCACACCTCAATTCATTACATTCATCACGAAATGTGGGGCCAAACTTGGTTGGTTGATTGTTATACATTTTTTGTTTTACAAAGAATAATAGCCTTTGGTGAGTTAAATACAGAGATTTTTACAAAGACCGGAGGACACTGCTGGACAGGTAGGAATATTTTGGCCAAGAGAAAAGGTAGTAGGGATCTGGTATGTGGCTTCATGATGCAGGGTTGAGAGAGAAGGTTCACAGACATCAAGTGTGGGGCTGAAGGACCATTTTCCAGTATCACTCCCATTATCTCCAGACTGCCCTTGCACTGGTCTGTCACCTATGGTATGTGCAGACAATGCCCACAGCAATTGTATTCAGTTCAGTTAATGTCAGTTCACATCCCCAACCTGTTCCATGGCCCTTTCTATCTATCCCAGGGCTTCCCCGGACCTCACTGACTCACAGTAAGAGTGGTAAGGGAGTGAACAGGGCAGGTGCAAAGGTGGGTGGCAGCTGAAAGGATCCTGAAAAGTAACAGCCATTCACTGAAAGGACTGGCCCAAGGAGGCTGTGCATTCCACAATGACTCTCCCTCTCCTAATCCTAGTGTTCCAATGGGAACCACCACCCTTTGTCTTTGCTAAGAATCAAAGGGCATCTCAGAAGTCTCTGGGCTGGATAGCAAAGAGGATTTTTTTCCCATGGGCAGGGTGGCTCCCTGGGTGACTGACTTGGCTTAGAAGTGATGGAAGGAGCCATGTTCAAGGAATGGTTAGAATCCCTGGAGAAAGATAAATATCAGGGGAACTGAGCCTGGGACAGTGAAAAGAGCACAGCCCAGACATCCCAGGTCTTATCCCCTCTAACAGCCTCTGGAAACACGGTCAACCTAGGAGCGCACTCCAGATGGGGACGTCAGACAGAAAACATCTACACATCAGGCTGTTTAGAAAATGTCCATCATGCAGGGGAAAGAAGGGCTTGGAGGCTCATAACCGTCAGCTGACTGAGGGGCATGGGGGAGCAAGATCTGGGCCAGGTTGCTGGAGGGACAGAGCCATCCAGTTCCCCTATATTGTCTTCTCTCCTTATGGGCGATAACTGCTGAGGATCATCCCTGAGGTCTCCAACAGACAGGCTCTGCCTGTCCTCTTGCAGAAGTTGTGGTCCCACAAAACCATGTCCTGCCTACAGTGACTGAGGCCCTATTGTTCTCTAAGGTCCACCTGGAGGCAGGGCCAGAAAAGGCCACTCCCTTGTCCAGGACAAAGTAGATGTCAGAGACATCTTGGCCTGATTCCTTACCCTCAGGCAACAGTTGGCCTTTGCTTTGTCCTTCGTGGTCCTGGAAACTTCTAGAGGCCAGGCCAGATACATTTGTGTTTCTTAAATCAGGAAATGTTTCCTGAGATCTACAACATAAATAATGGTGAAGACAGCAGAAGTAAGAAAAGTGTAAATTTAGACACCAGAGAACAGCAGTCCAACTTTTTCTTGCAATTCCCTATGACCTATCTCTTTCTTGGGTCACAGTTAAACTGAGCACAGGCCACCTCTAGCCTCTCTGCTGCCTCTGCCTATGTCCAGGATCCTCAGGCCTTCCTTTATCCTCCCTGTCACTTTGATTATCTAGCAGGTTTCTGCCCTAACACCAAGACTGGGATAGCAGCTTCTCTGGGTGTCCTCCTACCAGTTACTAAGTAGCTCTTCCCCAATGATGGAACAAAATTCTCTGTTGTTATGACTGATAGAAAGATTGACATAGTGACTTTGTGACCTTCAGCCCTGCTCAATGCCCACCATGTAGACAATACCAAATGGCAGTCATAGGGATCCTTGGAGGGCTTGTAAGATGAGACCTCCTTGTTTTTCAGACCAGCCCCTATTAGCTGGTCTCTAAGTTTAATTAGCCAGGGAGGAAAGTGGAAGTGGCTAAGATTAGGACATCACTCTGGATGAGGGGTCAGGGATTGGGAATTCAGTGGGTTGGAAATAGAAGGGCCATTTGGGTGAATGCTAGAGTCATGGCAGAATCTAGAAGGGATGAAGACTGTGTTGCCTAAAGTCTCTGTAAAACAGTCCCATTATCCACTGCAGAGTAACAAGCACCCAAACTTGGAAATGTAAAACAAGAACCTTTTTATTGTGCTCACAGGGTCTGTGCATCAGATAGGCAAGGAGAGCAGGGTCAGGAGTGGGGAGGGGGTCCTATGAGGTATTTCATGGGGAGACTTGAACATCAGGAAGAGGCTCGGGTGATTGAAAACCGAAGGTATCTGGTGGCAGCACCAGAGGGTCACTAATTTGTCCAGGACAAAGTACATAGTGGAGATGTCATGACCCAGGTTGGGTCCTGAGCTGCACCCTCTGGATCCAGTTGTGCCTTTTCCCCTGTCCTTAGTAGCAACAGAAACTCGTGGAGGCAAGGCCATGTCCGTGGAAGTCATTGTTCTTTTTAACTCATCTGTTCTTTCTTTATAAGCTTTAAACCACTGAGTGACATCTTCAGCCCTTTTCATATTTTATTTAGAGATAGAGTCTCACTGTGTTGCTCATGGCCTTGATAAATTGCTTAGACTGGCTCAGAACTCGCAATCCTCCTGCCTCAGCCTCCAGAGCTGCTGCAATACACCACACCCAGCCCCCATTGAATTTTTTCTTTAAATCTTTTTTCATTGACTTCTCACCTAATTGTATTATGATCAGAGAACATGCTCTGTATGATACTATTCTTTCAATTAAATTTACATTCATTCCTATACATAATTTAGGAGAGGATTCTTTATAAGCCCATTAAACCAAGCTTATAAATTGTGTTGTTCAAATCTTCTTAAATGTAGGAATATTTTGATTTACTTGAAATATGCACGTCTTAATTTCTCTATGTAATAGAGGACTTGACAATGACTCCCTATGGTGTATCTTTTAAAAAAAAATTATTATGAGTGTACAGGTTTAGAATTTGGGGAGGTTTCTGGAGAAAGAAATCCTCCCATTAGGAACTCTTTACCTCTAAAAGTGTTTTCCTCTATTAAAAACTCCATGTTTCTTTTGGTCTGCCCAGCATCCCTGACCTATTGTCTCTGACTCTTTTCTGTTCAATTTTTTTCATGTCCTTGTGTATTAGATGTGTCTCTTTTTAAAGGTATTTTGCTAGTGTTTTAATCAGCTTGTTTTGTTGCTATGACAAAACAACCCGACCACCACAATTGTAGAGAAGAAAAGGTTTATTTGAGGGCTCAAGGTTTCAAAAGTCCTAGTCCATAGATGGTGGCTCCATTACTCTGGGCTCAAGGTGAGACAGAACATCATAGTGGAAGAGCATGGCAAAGGGGAGCAGCTCATATCATCATCAGAAAGCAGAGAAAGACTCCACTCGCCAGATACAAAATATATACCCGATAGCCATGCCCCAATGAACCACTTCCTCCAGCCACACCCCACCACTTGCATCCAGTTGCCACTCAATTAATCCCATCAGAGATTAATTCATAGATAAAGTTAAGATTGTGACCCAATCATTTCTCCTCCAAAACTTCTTGCATTATTTCACATATGAGTTTTTGGGGACACCACATCTAACCATAACAGCTACACTGTTTTTAAATGACCGTTGGGGTAAACACAGTCAGTGCCTTAGAACACTTAGTATTCCTGGCTGTGAGATAAAGACTTCAAAGAATGTGAAAACATGGGTAAGGAAAAGAGAAACTGGCCACTTCCCTTTTCTCCCAACCTTAGATGGAGATCAAAGCAGAGAAATTTTGGATGTGAAATAAAGGAAGGTACTCATTAAACATCTGACTTGGTTCATATGTGCAATTAGCATGCAACCTATCTTTTAAAATTCCCCCTGCTTGCAGGCACCCAGGGGCACATGAATAATAAAATGTCCAAACTCCTTCCAGAGATTGATTCCTCTAAGTTCTTCATTTGGAATCAATAAACAGTATCCCTGTGTTTTTTACAGCCCTGGGGTTGAACAGTGTCAAACTCAAAGTTTTACCTGGTAAATTAAGTTCATTGTCATTGTTGTTACCTCATGACATCACTATTCAGATATGATGGTGGAGGGTATCATTCTTTTGGAGGGGAATGTTCTAAGAATCCAACCCCACCCCTACACAAGTCCCCAATAAGACAACCCCCATCCCATGCTGCTTCTAACCAACGACTTAGCCCAGCAGGGATTTGAAAGCTCCTGACAGGAATTCTCAGACTTCTCTAGTGGCTCAGGAACTCCCCATCTGTTTGGTTGAGACTTTCTTGTACCTACTCAACCCTCTTACTCTTTCTCCCCAGCCCTCTTTCATTTCTTCTTTTCTTTTCAAAGATATTGAAGATTGTCATTAATTTCAATATTTATTATTCATCTTACTCCTTCGCATAATTGTATTTGTTAACTAATGTTATGCAATTGGTAAACTAAAGCTATGCACATCTGGAAATATCTTTATTTGGGGCTCAGTCATGAACAATAGTGCCTTTACATGCAGAATTGTAAATGGACACATTATTTTAGAGGCCCCATGGAGACAAGATATCCTGGTGCCCATGAGAACTCTACTGTTGATTAGATCGTCAGTTCCTCATGGGTAAACCTATGTTATGAGCTGGTAACTTTTAAAATTTGTTTCTGGGTCCTTGATGTTTACAATTTCAGTAAGGTATGTGGGAGTGCTCACATTTGGAAACAGATGACTCCTTTCTATATTCATCAATTAGCTCTGTTCCATCAAGAAGTTTTGCTTCTGAAAACATCCTCAGATGTTTTTGATGGATATTGAATACAGTTTTCCCCATCTCAGACTTCATTTTCTCCTTTCCTATTTTATCACGGTAACAAACTCTCCAAAACCTTGGGGGGTAAAGCTCAGAGCTTCCTTATCTTATATCTGTACATCCCCCACAACCCACTGGCATGAGAACATTTATTATGTGAATGAATGAGGGAGCAGGGACTCAGGATAGTTTCAAGGATTCTCCCTTTCCCAAAAGGAGAATATGCACCCTACACTCAAATCAGGATCCATATATAGCTGACTGCAATCGAGCACTCTGTTTTCTTAAGACTCTTCCCTCACCTCCCCACATCTGCACTACAGGGGGAGAAGTCCTTGTCATTCAAGCCCCTGAACTCATTCAAGGCCATTCCAGGCAGTGCGCATCCCAAACCACCAGCCACAGCCATTGCGTCTCCGGATACTCTGTGGTCGTGGAACTCGCCCCAGTCTGGCACAGTGAGACCCTTCCACAACTGGAGAGACTCGCATAAGACAGAGGGAAAGGCAGCTGGACCACCCCAGTGAAGAACTGGAAGACTCCCCAGGACTCTGCGGAGAAGTGGCTCCTGGGCCAGCGTTCGCTGATGAAGAAGGGGATCCCGGAGCTGACGGAGTCCTGGCGGCGTAGGCACTGGACACGTCGCCTTGCCGGCACCACGGCAGTCGCCCAGGCAGCGCGAATCCAAGAATGGAAAGGTCTGGGCGCTCGGCTGAAGAGCCGCAGGAAATGGGGCGATCCCTCTGAAAGCCACGGCTGTGGACCAGAACTCCCCTGCGCGTCCAGCAGGCTCCGGAACCCAGCACCGACCCGAGCCTGAGGAGTCGGCGGGCCGGGACCACCGCATCGGGACCACCGCATCCGAACCACCAAGGAGGAATGGTCGCTGCAGTGCTGAAGGGTGGCAAGCCCAGTTCCGGCAAGTTGGATTCCCAGTCCGATCGTCCACTTGCGCCAGGCTCCGCCCACCTGAAAGGCGGTCTTGTGGACACTGGGTAAGAGACACGGAGGGCCGAGGGACACGGAGGGCCGAGGGACGCAGAGGTCCCGCCCCGGAGACTAGAGCCGCCCGGGAAGGCGGGGCCTGCAATTCCGGGGGCTCTGGGTCCAAGTTCAGAGCCGTGCACCCAGCGCCCGGGACCGGTACCTGGCGCCTGGAACCCCTGACCATTGCTTCTAGAGATTGGTGAGACGACAGGCGGGCGGGAAGTATGTCCCTGTCTTTGCTTTTACCCAGAGCATAATTCTTTTTTTTTTTTTTTTTTTTTTGAGTCCTGCTTTTGACTGCCTGGCGGGGTTTTCCCTTACCAATGTACCTCTGTAAGCTCCCTCCACCTCTCTTCAGAATTCTCTCTGGGTCCCATCTTCTCTTCTTCTCCGTGTCTCTTCCTGTGTCTCTCTCACACTTTTTTTTCTCTCTCTCTTCTTTCTTGGCTATTTCCCCTGCCCTCCTATTCTGTTTTCTCTCTCTTCCCCACTTCCTTCCCTCTCCCTCTTCCCCACTTTCCTTCGCACAAGAATTCTGTCTTTGATTTTATCCTGTGTTGACTTTGAGGCTGCATTTCTTGCATCCATCCATCCATCCATCCATGCACACTTTGCTCCATTTATCTCGTGTTACTCTGTTATTCTCAGCCAGGCTTCTGCTGGACGCTGGGATAAGAGGCATGCATATCAGTTCCAGATCTTTTCTCCAACAGATTATTCTCAAAGATCTGGACATGTAACTTGTTTGGTGTCTGTCAAGGGAAAAAATACATAAATTATCAAATTTCAAGTCTCTTGAGCTTTAGGGTGAGTGGAAAGAAAATACCTGATTTTAGGGACAAGATGCTGAGAAAATCCTTTTCTTGACATGTTTTCTTCACTAATAGGCACCGACAGCAAGCACACCAGGAAGCTAATTCTTGCAGCATCATTTAGGGGACAATGTCACCCACTGCCTGCCTTCTGGGCAAGTTTTGCAGTGCCGGGTTGGGAGGAAAGACGATGGGCTGGGTATCAGAGCTGGATGGTGGAAAGACAATGGGAGCCAGGGCTGTGTCCTTGAAGCCTTTGGGTGGGAATGGAAATGAGAAGTAAATAGTAAATTTCTAAACTAAATGTTTGTCAGTGCTGCTGGTGTAAAGCCATTAAGTGACATCAATACTGCCAATTGAGACATTAGACATTTATAACAATAATTGTGGTGGTTGATGTTAATGTTTTTATGTACATTTGATTGAAGAACCAAAGGGACACTATTTTATGCTAATATGAAGAATAACAAATAAAGAATCTAAAAAAGCAAATCTGATTAATTTCTGGAGAAAACAGTAGAAGTAATGGATATTGAAGCCATTTTTTGTTTCTTGCTAAAAATTTTAATTTCTTCAGAGACACAATTTCATTTTTAATATTTTATGATATATGTTATATATTCAAACACACATGATACATATATCATGTCATAAAAGAAGGCTTGTTTGTTTTAAGAGGTTAATTACCAACTAAATCTTCTTAGAAATAATTTACTCTAATTTATTGTGATCTTTAACGATAATTTAGCTAATTTTACTTTTCTTTTGACGCAGAAATGGAAATTTGGCAATAGGAAAATCACACAGAAATGAGCAGAAATTAAATAGGATGGAGGAGGATTTCAGTGTGCTTAGAATTTTCTCAGTTTATGTCACAGAGTGTTTGACAAATTCATAGGTATATGCATGAAACTTTGATTTGGGAGACTTCTCTGGACTGAATAGTTCAATTGCCTTTTCAGTCACCAAACTAGTGATCTCCACTGAATCAGAATTTCTAATGGGGGCACTGATTGAAATGTTTTTAAAATGATTTAGAATCACATGTCTGCTTTGCTTAGCAGAATCTTTTTCAGAAATCAAAGAGGTGACAACTTTATATTTAAAAAAAGATAATCACACCAGCTTAAAAAATGCAAAGCTGAGTCTTAAGATTTAGTGCTTTAAAACAAGGACCACATAGATCCATCACTGCTTATTTTCTTTTATTAAATAATCTGTATCTCTGTAAGAATGTCATCATCCTTTCTAAGATGATGCTGTTGCTGGCATGTGAGAGGTTCTAACCAAGCAACCCTAAGTATAACACGTGGACTTTACCCCAGCAGGATCTGCATTTCTTTTTTAATTGTATTACAAAGCACAGCTGCCAGTTTGGGGGCTTGATCCAATCAGGAACACCCTGAAGTGAAGATGGCCCCATCCTGATTTACTTCTAAGGAGACTGAAGTCCAGACTGGTTGTTCAAGATCCAGCAACTAGTAAGTGGCCAGGCTCAGCCTGCAACCCAAGTTATCTCCTGGAACCTGAGTGCTTAGGTGTTTGTTATATCTGTACTGTTGCTCCAGCTAGCCCCACTTGTTTGCCAGTTGGTGATGTTTGTTAGAATGCTGAATCTTATGTTAGTTTCTGACCATCTTTGAAACGCTATTTCATATTTGAAACACTCACAGAGCAGTGCTCCTTTGAAGCACTGTTTTTATCCTCTGTTTTCATTAGCTCTACTTCTGCAAACTCTTGGGCACTTGAGTGGGTGATGAGATCACATGTACTCTTATGTAAGTCCACATGATCAAGTTGTGTTGGCACCAAGTCCATCCTCACTGTGGACCTGGGACCGGCTGTATCCTGACAATCCTGCACTTGTCTTTGCTTGAGCCCAGCAGGCATTGCTTCTTAGAGTGGTCCATCCATACCTGAATGTGGGGTCTCTGGGGGCTGGGCTGGAAGCCCTCTTCTTTCCAACTCTGGCACCACCAGTCAATACCAGAAAAGCTGAAACAACTCTTTATTTTTAATTTTCTCAGGGTGCCAAGGCCAGGGAGATGCCAAGACACATGCATATTGCCTTCTTAGTAAAACCCATGAACTCACAGTCCCTATGCAGAAGAATTTTATGCCTACCTATCCTCTGGAATCTTCCAAAAGGGTCTGAGAAGTCTCTCCAGAGACTAGAGACACCAAAGGATTAGAAGCACAGAAGATTTATCTGCTATTGTTTCTTTTAGCTAAAGAGAAAAGCAGACTCACAAAGAGGAGCCTGGCAGTATACATGATGTCACCAAATCAGGCCTGTTTTTCACGCTTGAGCTGAGAGCACTTAGGGTTGGCCAGTTGATGTGAGCAGGAGAGTACCTTTACAAATTTCAGGCAAACAAGTCTATTCAATTGTTTATCAAGGGGAAGGAGAAGAATGTGCAGGCCATTTGGCCATTCTTTAAACACCGTTGTATACTAGACCTTGGGAACTGAAAGAAATAGGAATGTAGCCATGAAATGACTCTAACCTTTGTCACCTCCAGCCACATTTCTGTTATTCAATGGAATCATAACATATCTCCATACTGTGTGTTGAACCAAGCTCTTTAGAACTTTAAATATATTGATCCATCTAGTCTTTCCAACAATTTAGTGAAGTGAGCACCAAGGTGATCCTTTTTACAGATGAGGAAACAAAGGCATTGAGAAGATGAGCACCCTGCTAAGGTCACAGGCTAGAGCCTGATTGGAGTCCAGGCCTTCTGGCTCTAGAGCCGATGCATTTGATCTCTGTGGATATAGAGCTTAACAGTTAGTTAGAACTCCCGGCTAAGGCATAGATAGCAAGGTCATGTGAAAGAATGTGGCCAGAGCTTCCCAAATGTTGAAATAGTCTATCCAGAGCTGCTTTCCCCACTGTGGGCTGGGCGAGTCTTCATTTACCATAATGCACCCTTTGCAGCATGTATCAATAGGAGCACAATGGTTGGAGGCCCAGGAGGATTGGGAGCTTTAGAAGCAAGTATTCACTATGGTAGGAAAGAACAGGCATGGAAAAATGCCCACCCCTGCAAACTTGGGGAGCTCAGTGTCAGAAAGTGTCCAAGAACATCACTTCTTGATCCCATGATCTAAGCACTCTGAAAGTGGTTGGGGAGCCTTGGAATTCAATGAGTTCTTTCAAATATGAAGAACATGGGGTGGTTCTGAATGATATATGTACAATTCAGAGGGAAGTCTTGTTGGAGTCAGAGTGAAAAGAACCAAGGATGACAAAAAGAGTCCTTTCTTAGGACAGGCTCAATGATGGAGTGAGGAGGACCAGTAAAGAGTCTAAGGGCACAGAGCCCAGGACGAGCTGAGACTATTGAGGAGAGATGAGAATAACAAAGGCACTTTTCATATTAGGCTGAGAACAAGGAGAACAAGGACCACATAGATCCATCACTGCTTAGGGCAGCTGGTGTGTGGGGGACGAGAAAGAGGAAGGAGCAGCTCTATTCTGCCTAGGGAACATCTGGACAGAGAATGACCTTGCAGGTGCATAGGATAGTGGCACGTATCCACAGGAAAGAAGAGCCAATAAGCACTGAACACTGTGAGTTGGCAAGGCTCCTGGCCCAAAGAACCCTCTGGCTAAGATATGACATGATCTGGAGATGAGATCTCACATCTGCAGTGTTCATCTGACAGGTGTTGGGCATCAGGGAGATGTGGACAAAATCCAAAGATGGATCTTTTCTCTTTCTCTTTATTATTGTAGATTCATCTCCTTCTTTTCTTCCTCATCCTCCTTTTCTTCCTTCCTCTTCTGAAGATTTGGAGGATGGAATCAATAAAGCATGAAGTTGCAGGATACCTAAATCAGTTCTTGCAGGTGTCCAGATCCACATGGTCTGAAAAGCTAGAACACCGTGATGGGTTTTTGTGAGATGGAATGCAGCAGACTGGAGATAAAGGCACTTGAATTGAAACATGCAACCTCCTTCATGTGGTTTCTGTGAAAATTAAGTGAAATCAAGTGCATTAAATCTCTGGCATGGGTCACATGCAGCTGATAAATGGTGACTTATATATTTATATCATGAAGTATCCTGATAGCTGTCATTCTGATCTGCTACAAAACTATGTGTCCCCATTTCTAGAGCTGAGAAGAAGGTAGTCACTTCCTGAGCTCAGGGCATGCTGAACAGTTTAGGCATAGAGGCTAACGTGGTAGGACTCTCCTGATGCCTTTGGTATTTTTTTCTTTATCTGGTCTGTTCTAAGAGGGGGACTTTTCCAAACCTCTGACCTCTGATTTCATTTGCAAAGATTTTTCATTTTCTTGGGCATTTTTTCCTCTTCCCTCTAAAACTCTCCTTTTATTTCTGTGGTTCCAAGGGTTGGATGCCTGTTCAGATCCGAGGCCCAGTTTGGCTAAGGTGAAATTTCTCCAGGCAGCATAAACAGACCCCAAAGCTGCTACAACATACAGCCATCCACCTATACCAACTGCCTTGCCTCAGAGGTCCCTTAGCTTCCAGGAGATTCCAGCCAATACACTCTAGAGTAATTCCCCTTCCCAAGGGAGAGTAAGGAATGGGAGGGAAGCTTACCTCAGAGGTGGTTTCAGAGCAGATAGGAAAATATTTCCCCTGAAGTCAAAATATCTTTTCTGGGCTGCAAATATACCAGAATAGAATTCTGGCCCAGACCAAGCAGGAAAGGACACAGTCCCCTTCAACATGGTTGACAGTTTAATAAACCAAAAGGTTAAAATGAGACCAGCATAGTTTTAAAATATTAGAAAATCGAAAAAAATAATTCCTCCAAATTTCATTTGTTATATTTGGATCTGAAAATGTACCCCACAGTTCCTGTGTCAAAGACTTGGTCCCCAGTACAGCAATGTCCACAGGTGGGGGCATTGTGGGAGTGATTGACCTTTTAATCCACTGATAACCAAATGGACCACTGGAAGGTAGCGGGTGCTATGGAAGGTGTGACCTGGTTGAAGGGACTGGGCCTTGGGAACATGTCCTTAGGGAGTATACTTTGTCCCTGGCCTCTTCCTCTCCCTCTGCTTCCAGGAATTCCACGAGCTGAGCAGCTTTCATCCACCATACTCATCCGTCAGGCCCAAAACAATGGAGTCAGCTGATCATGGACTGAATCCTCAGAAACCATATGCCAAAATACACTTTTTCTTGTTTAAGTTGTTTATGTCAGATATTTTAGTCACAGCAACAGAAAGCTGACTAAAGCATCTTTATACTAAGATCACCATGGCGTATATTGTTTTGCTCTACAATATACATTCATTCTTCACTTAGTGACAGCATACATTCTGAGAAATGCATCATCGGGTGATTTTGTCATTGGTGTGACCATCACAGAGTGAAGTTACACCAACTGGCATGACTATGCCATCACGAAGGGAAATAATCTCATAGAACCACTGTTGTACATGTGTTCTATGGTTGGCAGAAATACCACACATGTGTTTACAGTTCTTAACATTATAGTGTACGTTTCTTTTTAGTAAAACATTTGTAGTTTTACAGTCATAGTTTTAAAGTGAATCATTTATTTATAAAAACAGTCTGGTCCACTTTATTCTGGCTTCCCTCCCCTCTTCTCCCACCCCTTCCCTGGGCACTGGTCTCCATCCTCTCTAACCAACACAGCTTCCTTGTCACCACTGTCCCCACAGCCCCTAGTACAAGCCAGTATGCAGGAGGCTCTCAGTGAATGCTAGCTGAATGAATGAAAGAATGAATCAACATTCTGTATACTATTTCTCATTATTTCCTTTTAGGATTTTTTCCTCCTTTGGCTTTTTTTTTTTTTTTTTTGCACAGACTAGATTGCACCAAATATACAATCTTTGGTCATGTTTTTTCTTTATCATTAAATCATAAGACTAGTAAATGTCACTTTCCAAAGTAGCGTGTTTCATCGTGTTTGTACATCATAATTCACTGACCATGTCTTTGTAATCAGGCATTTATTTAGTTGTTGTTTTTTTGCCATTATGAATAATACTGCAGTGAACATCTTTGATTTATTCTCTTGTTAGGCAGCTCTGACCCCTCATCTCCTTCTTTTAGCTATGGTCAGAGTGTGAACAATCCAGCACCTGAAGGAAGGGTGCTTTCAGGCTGAGCAATTTCTGTGGCCCTCACCCTCACAGTCCCTCTCAACACCCAAAGGCGATTCAACATTTTTCCCAGTCACATCAATTAGCTGACACTGGCTTCAACTGGACAGGTTCTCACCGGAGGTACAAGACCAAGGGCAACAAGAGATGAGGGAATGGGACAGAGCTAAACACCCTTCGTGGGACCTCATCTTTTGGTCTTACGTCAGACGTGGAAAGTAAAGGACGTCTTTATGCTGCCAATAGTGACTTCTGCCTTTGCCTGAGCTGTGGAGCACACCCTTTGGGAGGACAAACTAAACTTTTCACGTCTGCTAAACCCATTCCCTGTCACTTCATTTATTCATTCAGCAAAGGTTTCCTGAGTACCTGTCCTGTGAAGGCATGATCAGGTGGCTGCAGAAGAGGAGAGGCATTTGAATCATTCTAGGGAGCTTGACTGGGCAAGAATGCATAGAACTGAGAGGCAGCCACTGTCCGGGTGATCATGGATACCACCTATTCACATGGTGACAGGACGAGAATGGGGAAGTAGTAGAGACATGTGATCTAATAAGAAACTGACTCAGAGAAAATTTAAGGAAGCCAGCCAGAAGCAGGAAGGGTCTGTGAGGTGGACAAGGGGCACCTTGCCTGGCAGACTGTGAAGCAAGATAAACAGACCCCGCTGGCAGCCTGAGGAATAGTGGGTCAAAGTTAGAGCAGGCAAAGAAAGGGATGGAGTGAGGAACAAGAACTCTGAGGCCCACAGTCCTCCAGTGCTGGGACCTTCTGATGCTGTGGCCTCCCCTGGGCCCTTGACTCTCAGAGTTGAGGGAGCTGGGTTTGGAATAGGACCTGATAGTACGCAGCTTCTCATGCTGGGTTTGTTTGTTGATAGAGGATCCAGAAAACCCTGGAGCTTCTGCCTCTAGAGCAGGCTCCCTTCCCTTTTCCTAGAGCCTCTCCAATTATCAGCCTTCCTGTGGTTAATTACCAGTGGCCATTTATGCCGGGAGTCTGCTGTTGTATTCTGGGTGCTTTCCAGCTGCTGCTGAATGGTGAGCTCTGGAGTCTGAGATCATCTGAGTTCCTCCTCTCCTCTCCTTCCCTCCCCCCTTCTCTCTCCTCTCCTCTCCTCTCATATTCTATCCTGTCCTATCTTAATTTCCTATCCTATCCTCAGGGGTGGTGCGGCCACTTCTCCCATTTCATAAACAGTGGTGGAGGTCCCAGGAATCAGGTGGCTTGTCTGCCATCAGCCTGCATAATGTGATGAATTGCTACTGCCAGTCTCACTTCCTGTTGCTTCCTCTCTCCTAGAGCCCCGGGGGCTGAGTGTGTTTGGCCTACTCCTCACTGGCAATTCTCCAATCTCCTAACTCCTTCTGGGAAGACCAGGCTTTCAAAACCCCAAAGCCCTGAAGACTGATGGCTGCTGGAGTGTCCACCTTGCTCAGCCTGCCCAGCCCCTGCTGATCATCATGGCTGCTGGGAAAGAGGCTCCTCTGAGCCCTTCAGCTGAAAACAGATGGGGGATTAGTGGTCCTGAGCAGAGCTTGGGTCACAAGCAGGTGCTGCTTGAGAAAACAAACCACTTGGGCTCCGTTACTGCCACAAGTAGGGGTGGCCTGGTTGTGGGTAGTGCTGAGTTGGCTGTGCCAACAGTACCAGACAAGCCCAGACTGGGCAAGCCACTGCCCAGGAAGACACATGGGGAAGAAAGGCAGGGTGCTTTCATGGACCTGCCACAGCTCCATGAGAGACGAGGGGGTGATCAGGAGAAGGAGCACAGAGATGCTTCAGGCCAGCCTGACCCTCAGCAGCATAGCCAAGATGTTCCCAGGGCCCCAGTGGGCAGCACAGTCTCCTCTGTGTGGCCTGGCACAGCCCGAGGTGAGCAGAGGAGCGCCTTCAGCAAACCCACCAAGCGCCGAGCAGAGAGGCCTGGGCCCACCTCCATCTTCCAAGCAGGTGAATCTGCAGACTCCCTAATGGAGCTCTCCGGATTTCTCAGTACTCTAGATATCCCTTGTTGGGGTCGAATGTCAACTTCCAAGCTGGTGGTTGGCGATTTCTGGAACTTGCACACATTGTCACAGAACGCTCTGCTCTGCAGCACTTTCCAGGGTGCCCCTGTGCTGTGGCTGGAGCACACCCAGGCCCAGGTACCCACATCTTCTCCAGCCTCACGGGCCCTCCTGCCACCCACAATCACCTCCCTGGGCTTCTCCACCCAGAACTGGTGTGCCAAGTGCAGCCTCTCCTTTCGCCTGACCTCTGACCTGGTCTTCCATATGCGATCCCACCACAAAAAGGAGCATGTGGGACCTGACCCACACTCTAAGAAGCGCAGGGAAGAGGCCCTCATCTGCCCTGTTTGCCGTGAGTATTTCCGGGAGCGCCACCATCTCTCCAGGCACATGACTTCTCACAGTTAACAGGTGGCAGAGGAGCAAACCTAACTCAGCGATGAGGCAGAGGGAGCTCCCTGGCCTGCCTCAAGGCCATCACAATACTGCAGCTCTGTTGTAATTTGGAAAAAAAAACAGACCAGAACTTGTGATGTATCTTGCAAGAAATGAAGTCATGAAATAAAAGGATGCACTTTGCTCATCCAGACTGATGGGACCATTGGCACAGGGAGTGGGCTGCTTCTGGTTCTGTCTGTTTATCTGCATGGAAACATGTTTGGTGCACACATAAGCTTTGCAGTCAGGCAAGTGTGCATTCCATCTGGACTCTATCATCTGTGAGCTGATACCTGAGCCATGTTCCTTCAATCTGCTGAGCCTCCGTTTTCTTATCTGTAAAATGGAGGCAATAAGCCCTTTGTCTGATGGATGTTGTCAGAGTCACAAGGAAGGTGTAAACAGCAATCACCTCACTGCCTGGCAAACTGGGCACCAAGTACATGAGGTTATGCTCACTGTCTGCACTAATCAGCTTTGTTAGCAATTAAATCTCAGGGCCACAATAGCACAGGCATCTACTTCTCAGCCGCTTGTCAGTAGGGAGACCAGGGTAAGGCAGGCTGGGCTGGACATGGCTCCAGGTCTCAGGATCAATTCGAGTCCATGCTTTTTTTCTTCTAGGGCACATGGGCTGCCCAGAACTAACCTCTCTCATAGTGATGCCAAGAGCATGAGAGTGCAAGTCTAGATACAGAGACACATCTCAAGCATTTGCCTGGATCACAGTGCTTACCTCCCCTGGAACAATGCAAGTCACATGGCCAGATGGCCAGATCCAAAGTGGAGGACTGGAAAAAATACACAATAAAGCTGCAACAAGGAAATGGATGGACTTCCCTCCACAGGAGGTGAAGAATGAGGGCCAGTAGTAGTTCAATCTACCACCCGCACTGTGGGTCTTCACACTGTGAGTATGGGAAAAGGGAAAAGTAGAGTACATGTCATGTGCAGAAGGGGGCTGATGCTGCAGGAGCCGCCCTTCCCTGCTGCCCCAGGTGCAGCAGGAAAGAGGAACTCAGGGGCTCAGGGATACTTGGCATCCTTCTACCATGTCATCCCCCAAACAGTGCAAGATGTGTATACTGAATGTCCACCTTACTGGAGAAAGAAACTAAGCTCAAAAGGGTTTGAGGCTTTCCTAAGACCACTGCTGTGGAGTAGCAGTGCAGAGAAGACCCAAGATCCCTGAGTCTGAGCTTCTGTCCTTTCCAGTCCACCACAGGTCTGCTCAGCCCAGCACGGTCCCAGGGGATTGTGGGTGATTCAGTAATCAGAACTTAGGGTTAAGCCTAGATTCCTTGCCTCAAATTTCAACTTAGCCTTGCTGCATATTCCCCCCACCCTCTCATTGACCTTCTTTTGAGCATTTTCCACTATCTTGAATACTAAGTAGTATACTGATTTATCTTGTTTACTGTAGCTTCTGTCATTGGTATGAAAGGACTGACCTTTTTTTTTTTTTCTGTCTTGTTCACTGCTGCATTCCATTGTCTAGAACAATGTGGGCACACAGTGGGTATTTGAAAGACATTTGTTGGATGAGTGAATGAAAGAATGCACAAATGAAAGAAAGAAATATTTGTTCTGGCCTCACCCCCTGCCAAATATCAAATTGGTTTTTCAGGAGGGTTTGGTATCTGTCAAATGGTGTGCACGCTTGTCTTTTTCTGGCCTACTGGGTTGACCCATAATTCCTGTAAAATCCACTTGACAGAGGAAAATGTCCCTTCCCAAAATGCAGTAGACACTTGGAATTAAAAAGGACTTTAGATTTATAGTCTTCTCCGTACTTTGTAGCTGTGGACTTTGGGGTCCACAACATGAATTGATGTGCTCAGTATTTCAGGGCAAATAAGTGGTGGAGAAGTCAAGGTTATAACTCTGAGGTATCTACACCTGTAGGTCATCCCTGCCTGCCCACCCCAACTCCACAAGGAACTTCTGCTATACCAGGTGATAACTTGAATGCAATGAATAAAGTGACCTCAAATGTCATTATTATTATTAATGTAATTATGACCCCACTATTCACAAGCAGGGGAGGCATTTTAAGAAGCTGTACAGTTATGAAGCAACACAACAAAACATCTTCCACCAACTCTCCTTTTAAAGATAGAACTAATGTTACTAAAAATCAACTTTTATGATGGATGGAGTAAGTCTTGGTAAAAATTTATGTACCTACAAGTTGCTTTTCAGGCATTCAAATCAACAAAGATGATTTATAGAGGCGACAACTTAGAGTTGATTAATGTGACAGTTCTTAAGTATCACCAGACTGGTTTCCCAGAGTCCTTTTGGAGATGAGATCCTCTGTCACCTCTTCCTTCCAGTCTCCTATGCCGATGGGAGTGAAGCCACTTGGACCCATGGTCTGGCTAAGCTCTCTCAGTCACTGCTGTGGTCTGAATATTCATGCCCCCCAAATTCATGTTAAGACCCTAACCCCCCAAGGTGACAGTATGAAGAGGCAGAGCCTTTGGGAGGTTGGAATTAGTATCCTTATAAAAGAGACCTCAGAATACCAGCGGCCCAGTACCTCCATGAGGACACAGCCAGAAAGAGCCATCTATGAACCAGGAACTCTACCCTCCCTCATCAGACACTGAGTCTGCTGGCACCTTGATATTAGACCTTCCAGCTTTCAGAATTGTGAGCAATAAATTCCTGTTCAATTTATAAGCCACTTGGTCTATGTTGTTTTTGTTACAGCAGCCCAAGCATACTAGGTAGCCGTATTCCATACCCTAATGAAGAGTTGGTAGGTGATGTTGCTACACACATCACAAAAACAGATATGAATTTTACTCTTCAATTCTGGGGTAAGATTTTCCACTTTCCTTAAATTGTTTATAGCTAATTTAACTGGCTGGGCACCCGCTATCCTGTGGTACTGGTAGAATATGCATCCCAGCATTATCAAATTTTTCCTATCTCTCAAGGTCAGAAGTTTGGTGACACCATATGAAGCACCTGCCCTCTCTCTTGGCATCCCAACGTGTCCCTATGCTACTTGGCCATCTTTGTCTCTATCCTCCAAGCTTATCTGCTTTCTATCTTCCACTACTCTGAGGATTTAGGGCTGTGGTAGCTGCTATATTTTATATGAGTATCCCCCAAAAGTCCACAGGTAAAACCTTTGTCCCCAGTGTGGCAGTATTAGGAAGCGCTGTGGACATTTAAGAGACTTAATAAGAGACCTTTAAGATGTTGAGTGCCCTTCAAAGGGATTGTGGGAACCCCTGATCACCCAGTCTCTTCCTTCTTCCCTCTTTCCCTTTCTGCTTCCTGTTTGATGACATGAAACTTGCTCCAACATGTGCTTCTGCTGTTACCATCTGCCATACTTATCAGAGGCCAAGTCAATAGCGTTGCCCAATCTTGAATTGAAACATACAAATTATGAGCTAAATAAATAAACCCTTTCTCTTCATAAGTTAATTGCTTCAGGTATTTTATTACAGTAATGTGGAGCTGACATACTGTGGTTTTCTGGCAGAGTTATGGATAGGCATGTAACATAGAAGCCACTGAGTTGACAAACAGAAAGGTTTGACTAACTTCTTGGAACCAAGGAGGGAAAACAACTATTAGCAATTGGAAAAATGGTAAATTATGTCCTAATAAATCAACTCCTAACAGTAACATTCCATTAAAGTTCTCAAAATTAAAAAATGGAGCTAAAATAAAGCAATCTGAATTCAAATGCAATTTGGTTTTCAGTTTTTTTAACCAAGATCAGGGTTAATTTTTGTTTTTATTTTACAGAGAAGTAAAATCATCACAACCCTGGGGTCTTTTTGCAGTTTGAATGTGAAGTGTCCCCGAAAAGCTAACATAAGAAGATTTAAAGGAGAAATGATTGGGTTATGAGAGACTTAACCCAATCAGTGAATTAACCTGTGACAGGATTAACTAAGTGGTTACTGAAGGCAGGTAGGGTGTGGCTAGAGGAGGTGAGCATTAGGCGTATGCCTTTTGGGTATATATTTTTTATCTGGAGTCTCTCTCTCTCTCTCTCTCTCTCTCTCTCTCTCTCTCTCTCTCTCTCTCTCTCTCTCTCTCTCTCTCTGCTTTCTGATGATCATGTAAGCTACTTTTCTCAGCTACACTTTTCCGCCATGATGTTCAGCTTCACCTCGACCCCTGAGTAATGCAGCCAGCTACCTATGAATGAGACCTCTGAAACTGTGAGCCCCCAAATAAACTTTTCCTGCTCTACAATTGTTCTGGTCCAGGTCTTTTGGTCACATCAGTGAAAGCTGACTAATATAGAAATTAATATTGAGAAGTGAGGTCATTGCTGTAACTAACCTGACTATGTGTTTCAGAAGATTTTGAAGCATTTGGGGATTAGTGGGAGGAATTTTGAGAACTCTAGCAAGCAATGTTTTAGGTTATTGTAAGCAGAGCTTAATGGATGATTCTGGTGGGACCTCAGAAGACTAGAATGCAAATAGGACTGTGGACAGTGAAGACAGGGCTCAAGAGGGTTTAGAGAAGGAGGATCCTATTGGAAACTGGATTAGAGACCATTCATGTTATGTTCTAGCTGAGAAGTTGTCTGCATTTTGTCTGTGTCTTGAGATACTTATGGTGGCTTTTAGCCAAATTTATATAACATTCAGGAGCAGAAAAATTTGAAAAACTTGGACTTGAAAGGTGGGAGTAAAACTGAGGCTAAGGACATTTAAGTTATTAAAGACATCATGTGCCACTAAAGAAATGCTAAAGACTTTGCCCTGAAACTATAAGATGGCTTGGGAGCATCTCAGAAAATGGCAAGACCATCTCAGACTCAAAGAAGTAAAAGTAAAAATTCTCTTGAGAAGAGAACAGTGGGGTACCCTGCTTTCACTGGGCGACCTAGGAAGTCTCTTCAACATGCCCAGCCACCAAGGCCTTCAAAGGCTCCTGCTGCCAGGATTCCTGGAGGCTTGGCTACTGCCTTGGTTCAAGCATGTGGTGCTGGTTCTGCAGGAATGCAGGATGCTGTAGTTAGGGGGTCATGGAGGCTTCCACCAAGATTTCAAAGGAAGGACTGGAAGGCCAGACAAAATGCAGCAGGGTCAGAGTCCCTATGGGTAGGCCCTGAGTGAGCAGGGCATGAAGATGTGAGGAGACCCCCAAGATTAAGAAATGACATTGAGAGAGATATAGAAGGGCGCAGGCAGCCAGAGCAAGATGGTAAGTGAGGAGGAGGTCAGGAGCAGGGCCAGAACAAAGGAGCATGGGGAGGGTCTTCTGATGGGCTCAACTTCCTACTTGACAAAAGTACTTGTGGACATAAGTGGGGGGCCCCATCAGACAGACACTTCCATACTCATGGTCCTAAGTCAGAGATTCAATAGAAAAACTAAAACAGATGTGTGGATGGAGGGGTCATCCATCTAGTGATGGTGAGGAGTGCATGGATAGGGGAGGAAATAAGGAAAGGAGGATATCCCAGAGCCCATAAAAAGAACAGACCAAACTCCCCACCATTGGATTCCCAGCTCTGGGCCCCTTCTCTTCCAAGAAGTCTATGTCTGTATCTCTGTCACCTTACAGTAAACCTTCTTCTTGCTTGCTATATTGTTTTCTGTTCTCCAATTATTTGCTAAGAAACAACCAACCCAGGCACCACTAGATGGGAACCACTAGATGGCAGTACTGTGGAAGTTCCTCTGAGGAAGTCTGCAGGAATCCATCTGAAAAAAGCCAACAGGAAGGCCACGTGGGCTACAATCAACAGGGGCAGAACTACACAAGCCCTTTAGACAGAACATCACCATGCCATGTTCCCCAGATGCTGAACAGGGAGCTGTAGGACTTGTTTGCCAAGTTGAATTTTGGTCTTGCTTTGGTCCCATTCCTTCTTTTTAGGCCCCTATTTTTTCTGAATGGAAATGTTTACTCTGTGCCTTTGTTGGATACTTGTGAATTTTTATTTTTACGTGAGCTCATGACACAAGCTTGACCTGCGTCTCAGACATTGACGGTAATCTTTTGGGCCATCTTGAAATGGGGACTCTTGGAAATGAAGAAAATGTATTTTGCATTGTAGGATGGTCATGAATGTTATGGTCTGGATGTGAGGTGTCCCCCAAAAGCTCACACCAGAAGGTTTAGAGGAGAAATGATTGGGTTTATGAGAACCTGAACCCAATCAGTGAATTAATCTTCTGACAGGATTAACTGAGTGGTAACTGAAGGGAAATAGGGTGTGGCTGGAGGAAGTGGGGCATTGGAGGCAGGTTAGCACCTCAATCTCTGAGGGATGTAGCTGGCTATCTATGGACTGAGATCTCTGAAACTGTGGGCCCCCAAATAAACTTTTCCTCCTCCACAATTATTCTAGTCAGGTCTTTTAGTCACAGCAGCAAAAATAGGCTGACTAAAACAGATCTTAAATTTCAATCTATTGCCAATTCCAGAATCTTTAGACTAAGGATCCTAAATGCACATGACTAGATGATTAAATCAATGGATTAGATGAAGATGCCTGGGCTTTGGAGTGGCAATTGCGGTGGGAAGAGGGGTCTTGGATTATGGGGTTCATGTGTCTTAGGTGAAGAGTCCTTAGATCCAGGCTGTCCCAAGTCTCATGAAAGGCTGGAAATCAGGAAAAGTAGTTGCCACTTGGCTCAACTGACTTTTTAAAACACTGATGGAGAGCAAAAATGGCATGGACTCACTGACATCAGTGGTGGTAGTGATAGGGAGGGGGCAGGAGCCATCAGCTAGTGACCCCAACTCTGTGATGCTCTCAGCTATTAAATAAGCCCTCCTGATCTCACCATGTCCCCTATTCCTGGGAGCACAGGCAGAAAACATTTACTTAGAGTAAAAGTCAGCAAGAGGAACTCTGGACCAACCCTATGTCCTTCATCCCCTGGGGAAGAGGTGGTTCTCCCTGGAGGCAGCAGTGTGTCTTACAGGTCTCACACACCTGACATTTGGTGATCTTGTTTGTTCATTTGTTGGTTTTAGAAGTCATGTGGTAAGTCTAAAGTAAGCACATAGCATATGAGATCTGAAAGTCATAAGAATTATCTTTTAGTTTTAAAAAAAGAAAGTTGTTCTCCAACATGCTTTGGCTTGGGACACCTCCTAGGAGAGAATATTGGAAGACCAATTTTGAGTGGGGATTGGAGAGGCAGTTGGTATAGTGTGGAGAAGAGGGAGTCTTTAAATTTAGATTTCCTCTCCTGTTCCTGGTGTGTTTTTGTGGGGCCTTAGGTAGGAGGCCCCTGGCCTCTGATCCCCTTGCCATTCTAAGCTGCTTGGATTAGGAGGCTATTTTCGTTCTAGCCACCTGGGTTAGCAAAGCAAGAGGTAGTCCTTAGGCCAGGTGGCAGCTAAATCCCACAGAACGGGGAGATGGGAGATGGTGCCCTCTTGTGGGGACTTGGAGTAGGATTTTGACCTATCACTTTCTTTGGACTGCAATCTAACTTCCTGGGTAGCCTTCCTGGGTAGCTGACACACAAGTGGCCGTCTATTGTGTGTTGACATTTGGTGATCCTGTTTGTATCAGGGACAGATACAGGGACACAGGAACAGGAGGGTGAGTGAGACGGGTGCGTACAGGGGCCTCTCCTCTTGGGCGCCTACCCAGCCTGGAGACAGGAGCCTTATGGAGGTCTACCAGGTGTCTCCTTCCTTTTCCTTTCTGGATGAAACACATGGCACTGATTCCTGGCC